TCTCTGTTGCTCTCGATAGCTCGGTGTCGCCGTGGCCGACGGATAAAGGCGCTGGGGATCCCAGTGCACCCTCACGAGCCAGTTCCTCCGCGTGGATCCAGAGTTCCACCGCTCGGGTATTTTCCTATTTCCTGAATTTTACATTTTTTAAAGAATAACAAAAAGAAGAAGAAGGTCATGACACAGTTCGTACCTCAGCTAGGTGTTTATATCGCTCTTGGAATACTTCGGGGTTTTAATTCCATTTGGGACACATCCCAGTCCAAACTAGAGAGGCTGAGGCATGTTCATTCCCATCTGGTCATTTGTTTTAAAGCTAAAAGATTTCCCCATTTACATTTTACATTCCCCAGTCAAACAACCGAAGTAGTGGCCCCATTTCCCAGTCGCAGGAGGAAATCAGGCTGTTTGGAGACAGGACAAACCTGAGGGTCACTGAGGGCTGGGAAATGTGGGCCATTATGCCTCGGGATAAAGAATCCTGGGAAATAACCGGGTTCCTTATTACAGCAAGTGTTTAAACATTTTTTTCCTATTCTGTGTGAGAACTGACCACGCACTGAAAAAGGATGCAAAATCCCATTTGAATCATCCTTTAAAATGGCACGTGCTAATTCTTCTCAGCCTCTTTACCTCCAAGCAGCTGCAGGAGGTGAGGAAGGAGGTCTCTGGCACAACCCCCAAGCCAGGCAGCCCCGAGCATCTCCTGGTGCCCCTCGTGGCACCGCAGCTCCACCGCCCCCAGAGCCAGCCCCGTTCTCCCCTGCCTCCCTTCCTCATTGGAATTAGCCCACATTTCCCAGATTTGCTGGTCCAGAGGCTGTTTTGGCTCAGCTCATGGTGGATATTCTCCCCTCTCACCGGTGTTGTCATCACCTGTGAGGGCCTGAACCTGCCAGGGGCTCGTGCTTATTAATGCCAGATATTTTTATCGAGGGGCCCTTCATCCACTGCCTGTAGGGAGCGATCATTTCTAATCAGCAAATTAAAGGCATGTGAACTGCCATCGTTGTATCGGAAGGAAAGCAGGGCCCGATGTGCTCCGTGCAGTTTTTGGAGCCTGAAAGAGGGGCAGTGCCCGGGACAGGCCTGGCACCGCGACCGGAACTCTCCAGAGGCACCGAGCGCAGAGGAGGGAGCACAAAACCCGCCGCAAATATTGGGAAAGGGGAGCACAGAAGAAAACCATTGACAGAGCTCCACATTACAGCATTGATTTTCGAGCCGAACTCCCCGTCGACGGCGCAGCCCCACGTCGAACGTTCCGGAATCATTGATTCGAACGGGGCTCCCGCCCCGCGGTCGATGGCGCAGCACAGCCCAAAGGAAATTGCTTCTCCCTGTCAATATTTTTCTTTTGCGGTGTGGAAAACCACCCCCAAACGTGCAGCTTTTGTCGGGGGACCTGGTGGGATCCGAGGGAGGGCTGAGGACGGAAGGGGATGGAGAGGACAGTGGCAGAGGGGCTGCCTCTCTGCAGCAGAAACGCCTTTCCATTGATAAGCCAGTCCCTTATTACTTATTTAATTGTTGTTCAGAAGGTGCCTCCCTGCTCAGGACGGCCAGCAGCACCTCGGCTGGGCTCTGCCTTCCCTCTGCTCGGCCCCAAATGTTCCTGCCCGAGTCCCTGATGGCTCAGGGAGAACCCTCCCTCTCATGAGCGAAGGTCTGGACGAGCCAAGAGAGCTGATGCAGCGGGATCAATAGTTGTAAGTACAGAACATTTCAGGCTCCAAAATCCAGAGGAATCCTCCCGTCCGGCTCCTTCCATCGGGACACAGACCCTGTCCAGGGGCAGCCACATCCTGCTCCAGCCCCTCTGCCAAAGGGAGGGGGGCCAAGGACCCCCCTCAGGGGGTGCTGGGGGTGTACATAGGATTGGAAATGCGTGTTCCCTTTCTCCTTTCACACCTCTTGGGGGTGGATTTTCATTGCTTGCATCTCCTCAGAGGAGGCTCACGACAACAGGCGTTTGGGCTGCTGGGTTTGCTCGTGGAGGAAACCAAAAAACAAGTGTGACACAGAACTCTGTGAACAGGGGCTGCGAAAACGTGAAAAAGCAGGTTTTCTGTGAATGAATGTGTCTTCATTCCAATGGCTCTACAGTTCAACAATGCCTGAGGGAGTCGTTTTCGATAAAAAAATAGAAATATTTAAGAAAAAAAGGAAAAAAAAAGAAAAAAAAAAAGAAAAAAATGCCATAATTGTAATAAAGGTTCCATAGTTAATGGCCATACTAAAAGCATTGTTTATTTTGAAATGGCTGATGTTCACAAGGGGCCAGGGTGTGTCTCAGGTGAGCGGTGGGAAGGACACTGGTGTCCAGCCTCACACCCCTGGAGAGCCTCGAGAGCAGGACTGGGGGCACTGGGACCTGGCCAGGGGTGTCCCCAGCCCCGAGGCCGGGGCAGGGCTGCACAGCACAGCCTGCCCTGGCTCCTCTCGTGGCAGTGAGCTCCCGGTGTGCCCCTGCGGTGTGATGTGCCTGCAGCGTTGACTCATGTGCCATAACCCCATATTGAATGCGTTGTTTTTAAATAAAATGGTTTCTTGTGCATTGGGAGTCCGTAAAACTCCGCCGCGTCCGCTTCTTCCTTACTGCGGTTTCCCCAGCTGCTCACAGCCACTGGCAGGTTTCACTGGAAAACTTCCCCAAAGGGGTTGCCAAAAGGTGTTGCTGAATGTTCCCCATATTCCATTCTGCAGCACAACAAGCAGGGTGTGATGGATCACGTTCTGCACTCCCCTGGAATATGTGGAGACACAAAGCCTGGGAATCTGGGCACGGCTCAGCTCTGGGGGTTTGCTCATTCACAGGGATTACATTCCCAAGAACTTCTTATAACCCACTCCTGGTACTTGGCCACTTCCCAGGGGACTGGCCGTTTGCTCCAGCACTGTGTGGTGTCCTCAGTGATTCCCAGCAGGAATTCTGCCGTGGGTTTTTAGGAGTTCACACGAACTCCCAGTGATACTGTGCCTCAGGCTGGCAGGGGCCTCTGCCTGTGACAGCTCCTCTGCCTGTGCTCCCTGTGTGCTTCCCATCCCTGATATCCCGGATATTTATCCTTGGGATGACCCTGGCAGAGGGGCAGGTGCCAGGGTTTGTGTTTGAGGGACAGGGAGCAGTCCTTCCAACCCCACCATCCCACGGACACCCCAAAGCTGCCCCTCGGAGGGGAGATTTTGCCGTCGGGAATTGGGCACTGCCGCGTGTAATAAAACATCTTCAGGGAACGCAGCCACCAGGTTTGGAAAGAAAAGGTTAAAGTCAGGCCTGATGAATTTGTTGGAGAAGAAGGAGAAGGCGGCAAGGCAAGACAAGGAAAGGAAAGGGGGGAAAGAGGGGGTAAAGGGAGGAAAACAGAGGAAAAGGGAGGACACGACACCAGCACATCGGCGGCACCAGATTCCCGTCGGGGTCTGCCCACCCACCCCCTCCAGCCTGCCCACCCTGGCACCTCCACCCCCCGAGGGCCGCACTCGCCTCTCTTTCCCCAAATCAACTGCAACTTTTGCCTTCCTTTAGGAAGGACAAAAAGATTTCACGCATAACTTGCCCTGAACAAAGGCACCTCACGCCAGGGCTTTCTTTTCCTTCTGCCTTTCTTTTTCCTTCTCCACCGCAGGCTGACAGCGGCAGGAGTAGCTGGGGTGGGGAGAGCTTCCCTTTAGACCCGCCTGGTTAGTGCCAGCTTGGAAAAGCAGCTTGGAAAACCCTGTGAGCTCCAGAGACACACAGCGACGGCAGCGTGGAGGGAAACGGATCCAACCTGTAGGGAACAGGGTGCTGACACACGTAACCTGTTTGCAAGGAAATTCCAGGCACCCTGGAGAGTGGCCTGGTAACTGATGGTCCTAAAGGTGACATTTCTCCCTGTTTCCCCCTCCCATTTTGTTGCCGGAAAGACCCAGTGGAGGTGGGACCTTCACGCACGCAGAGATGGTTATCGGGGCTGAGATAAGGATGACACAAAACACAAGGACACGGCTGCTGCCGCCACTGCCTTACTGATTAAAGGAGTGGGAGAAGCAGTGGAGGGAATGGCACAGCTGGGAGCAGCTGGATGGCCTGGCACGGCACGACCCAACGTGTCTTGGCATGGGTGTCCTTCTGTGCCAGAGCAGGTCAGTCCCCACTTGCCACTGGGTGATGGGGTACCCCGTCCCCATGGGCCCTGTGCCCATCGGGACCCCCGCCCACTCCTCATCTGCCTGCACAGCTTCCCGCTGCCTACTTGGCTGCCCTCCTGGCTCCACGGTCCTGCTTCCACAGCTCCCTGCCCCGCTGTGCCAACCCCACGTGCCCTACGGAGCTGTGCCCTGCCCCTGCCAGCCCCGGGGCTCAGGGGCATCCTGGAGAACCGGCCCTTCCTCGGCAAGCGGGGAGACACGTCTGCCCGTGTGTGCGCGGCGAGCGGGACCCCCCGGCCGTGTGTCAGCAGGGCACGTGGGCCCCCGCCGGTCCCGGGGTGATGCGCGTCCGTCGCGCTGTCACCGAGCCCGTTGCTGCCACGATAACCAGTAGCCAATAGCAGCGATCAGCACCGGGGGCTGCGGATCTGGGAGATGCGGGACCGGGGCTGCGGGGCGCGGGGCCATGTGCCGGGAGGAGCCGCGGTGCCGGTGCCGGTGCCGGTGCCGGTGCCGGTGCCGGTGCCGGTGCCGGTGCCCCGCCGGGGCGCTCCCGGTGCCGCCACAAAGGAGCCGCGCCGCTTTAAGGGCCGCGCGGGGCCCGGCGCGAGGCCCCGCCCCCCCGGGCCGCCCCGCGCGCCCATTGGCCTCCCCGCCCCGCGGCCCCGCCCCCCGCGGCCCAGCCCCGCCCCCTCGGTGCGCGCCGGCCCGGCCCCGGGGCGCGGCCGGGGCGGGGCGGCCCGAGCAGCGCCCGCCGCCCGCAGACGGCGGCGGCGGCGGCGAGGCGAGGACATGGCGCGGGGCCGGCGCGGCGGGCCCGGCTGAGCCGCCGCTGCTGCTGCCCGCGGGGGGCCGGCGGGGCGCGGGCGGCCCCGGGCCGCGGCGGCCGCCGCCCCGATGAGCGGATGAGGAGCGGGCGCGGCGGCCGGCGGTGCCTGGGCGGGGAGCCGGGTGCGTGCGCCATGAACCCCGAGTTGGCGATGGAGCCGCTGGGCAGCCTGCACGGGGCGGCGGGGCACGAGCCGGAGCTGATGGGCAGCCCCAGCCCGCACCACGGCGGACGCGGCGCGGGGCCGCTCCGGGTACCGCCCCCGCCGCCGCCGCCGCCGCCGCCGCCGCCGCCGCCGCCGCACCAGGAGCTGCCCCCCGCCGCCCGGCCCGCCATGGTGCCCAGCATGGCCTCGCTGCTGGACGGCGCCGCCGAGTACCGGCCCGAGCTGTCCATCCCGCTGCACCACGCCATGAGCGTGCCCTGCGAGGCCTCGCCGCCCGGCATGGGCATGAGCGGCACCTACACCACGCTGACGCCGCTCCAGCCCCTGCCGCCCATCTCCGCCGTCTCCGACAAGTTCCACCACCCGCACGCCCACCCGCACGCCCACCACCACCACCACCACCACCAGCGCCTGCCGAGCGGCGCCGGCGGCGGCTTCGCGCTGATGCGGGACGAGCGCGGGCTGCCGGCCGTGAACAGCCTGTACGGGCCCTACAAGGAGGTGCCGGCCGTGGGGCAGAGCCTCTCGCCGCTGGGCAACGGGCTGGGCCCGCTGCCGGGCGCCCAGCAGGGCCTGCACGGCTACGGCCCGCCGGGCCCCGACAAGATGCTGAGCCCCAACTTCGAGGCGCACGCGGCGATGCTGGCGCGGGGGGAGCAGCCGCTGCCCCGCGGGCTCGGGACGCCCCCGGCCATGCTGCCGCCGCTGAACGGCGCGCACCACCCCGCGCCCCCCGGCCCGCCGCCCCCGCACGGCCCCGCGCTGCCCCCCGGCCGCGACCGCCCGCCCCCCGCCAACGGCCCGCAGGGCAGCGGCGCGGGGCAGCTGGAGGAGATCAACACCAAGGAGGTGGCACAAAGGATCACGGCCGAGCTGAAGCGCTACAGCATCCCCCAGGCCATCTTCGCCCAGCGGGTGCTGTGCCGCTCCCAGGGGACCCTCTCGGACTTGCTGCGGAACCCCAAGCCTTGGAGTAAACTCAAGTCCGGCCGGGAGACGTTCCGCAGGATGTGGAAGTGGCTGCAGGAGCCGGAGTTCCAGAGGATGTCGGCCCTGCGGCTCGCAGGTAGGTGCGGGCAGCGGAGCGCGACCCTCCCAGCCCAGCGCCGCCCGGACGGCCCCGCAGCGCCGGCCCCGGGCCGGCCGCGTCCCCGCTCCGCCGTGACCCCGGGGCTGTGCGGGCCCGGCCGGTCCCCCCTCCCGCAGCGCCGGCCCCGTGCAGCCCGGCCCGGGCCGGCGGAGCCGTGCGGGGCTGGGGGCCGCCGAAGGGACAGCTCCGCTGCCGGCGCCGGGGCCGGCGCTGCTCTCCAGGGCCCGGTGCTGAAGGTGCGCTCTCCGCCGGCATCCCTCCTGCCGCTCCCAGCGCCGCGGGGCAGGCCGGGCGGGGGACCCGCGTCCCGGGGCAGGCGGGGCTGCGAGCAGGGGGGCCGGCCCCGCGTACGCCCCGCGCACCCCGCACACACATCCCGCACCTCCCGCAGCCCGGCCCGGCCGCATTGTCCGCGGCGGCCGCGCGGGCTCCCCCTGGCGCGGGCACGGGGAGGCGCAGCCCCCATTGTTCTGCGGGGGCCGGGGGGGGCGGCGGGCAGGGACCCCCGGGACTGACCCCCGGGACCGACCCCCGGGACTGACCCCCCGGTAGCGCCCGCCCGGGGCAGAGCGGGGGAGGCGCGGGGAGCGCTGTCCCCTCAGCGCGGTGGGTGCCCGGGGGCGGCCGCCGCTCGCCCCCCGGTCGGCAGTTCCCCGCCGGGAACCGTGGATGTGGATGTACAGACGCGGGGGACAGAGCGCAGCGCGGGGAGGGCGCCGGGCCGGGGCTCTGCTCCGGCAGAGACGAAACGCGGGGCTGTTTGTGCCGCCGAGCCCGTCCTTCTTTCATCCCGAGCGGATCGATCCCCGCGCGTTCGCGCTCCCCCGTGGGCGGGTGGCTGAGGGGACACGGGGGTCTCTGCAGCGGGGGAGCGGGCGCAGGGAGCCCCCGCACGCGGGGCAGCAGGGGCGGGATGCGGCGGAGCTGGGGGACGAGGAGCCAGGAAGGATGGATGGCCGAAATCCCCGCCCGACCCCTCGCCCGGAGCGCTGCGGGTCAAACACCCGCGGCCTGGGGTGGCCAGAAGCCCCTCGGAGGGTGCTCGGGCTTTGCCCTGCTCCCGTCGGGAGAGGGATGCGGATCCCTCCTCGGCTCCAAGGAGGGATCTGCAGTCCCCGGGGGGGCGGCTGTGACGGGAGCGTCAGGGGGACGGAAGGGGTTTGGGGTTTTTCGGCGGGCACGCGGCGGTGTCGCCTCCGCAAACAAACGCGCATCCAGAGGGAAATCGATGCGGATAATGTTTGGAAGATTAAAAGAGCATTAATGTTGGCAACGGGAGCATCAGCGCGTGGACCCAGTTTTCATTGATCTGGAACCTGAGCCGGCTCGTTTCCAGTAACGCTGCTGGTGCTTTTCCTTCCCAGCACCGGGCCCGGGGGGGGGTTCCCCTTCAGAGAGGGCAGAAAATCAGGAATCGCAGCCACACGCGGAGTTTTGTGCCTGTATCATTCTGGATCTCCCCTTTCCCAGTCCCCCCGAATGCCTTTGCATCCAGGAGCAAAGTCTGCAGAGAGCTCGGGCGCTGAGTGGGCACGGATTCCCCGCGGAGTGGGAAAGACCTTTGCAAATTACCTTTCCCTTCAGGAAATCGATTATTTTAATTTCCTTTTATTACCACGTGTGAATAAGCGGCTCCGTTGCCTCGGCGCTTCCTTTACTCGCTTGCTTAAATCCCTCTGAGCACGGGGAAAAAGCCTGAAGTGTTTCAGACTTTTGAAAAACAAAACAAAAAAAACCCCTCACCAGCTCTTTGCCCCGTCACTTCCGGAAATTTTTTCCCAAATGGGACTAAAATCTGCTGTCCTGGGAGGGAAATCCCCCTCTCCCTGTGGGAGGTGGAGCAGAGGGGTGTGCTTAGCATTTCTTCTTATTACAGAAGATCACGTTGTTTATCCTATTCTGTTCTGATCTAATTTAATCTCGTTATTTCTGCGCTCGGGGGTCTTTTTAAGACTCCCTCGCCGGGGGTTTCTGGGCGGGAACAGGCGGTTCCGCGCGGCTCTGGAGCTCCGGGGGGCTCCCGTTTTGGGGTCCTGCTGCGGCTGCAGGCGGGGGAAAGGGTCGAGTGTCCCCCCGGGGCAGGGACGGGGGGCTTTGGGGGGGCGAAACAAATGTTCGGACCCGCCCGGGGGGGGGAACGGCGGCACCGTCAGCACCACGGAGAGCGCAGGAGAGGGATGGAGGGACGGAGGGATGGAGGGCAGGGAGGAGGAGGTGCTGCGGACAGTGGGCCGCCCGTCCTCTCCGCCTCTTTGTGCCTCACCGACACTCCGTGCCCTGCGTTTTCAGGCTCTGCGTCTGGAGCTACGGCTAAAAATTAAGTCCCAGCAACGTCTGTATCAAGCCTGTTATCTATCCATACATATATCTCTATAGACAAAAGTATTTCTTAGTGCTGGACTAAATATACAGGTACCTAAAGGTTCTTTGAAAGGTGCTTAGTGGCTTGAAATATGGGTGCTCCCTTTGGCTATAGATTAGTGGTTGTGTCTGAGCAATCCATGCAGTAAATTGCGGTGCCGGGTGATTAATTAGATTTCCCACGTAGCGACTTTCCCAAAATAATATCCTGGCCCAGCTTTTTTTTTTTTTTTTTTTTTTGGGTTCCACATCGTTTCTGGAAGCGTTTCTGCCCTGCAGAGATTCGAATCCTGTTTTTGTGCAGCGAGCAGGCTTTACCAGTGTCTCGATCATTTGATAAAGTTAAATCTGAGCGCATTTGTCATTAAATGCACTTCTGTATTTTTTCCCTCTCCTTTGTTAAACAAAACCCAGTGAACTGATCACCATGTCTTACTCATTCTGAAGCTGTTCTTCACTATTTCCTTAAAAGATTTTTTTTTTTCCCCCCCAGCATCTTGTTTTTTCCTGTATCTCTGGCCTGTCACCACTCGAACTGAAATATCCCAAACTCAAACATCCCCCTGCGGATGAAAACCTCCGCCTTTCATTGGTGGAGAGGAATGCACAAAGGGAGAAGCATTTTTGCCCAAAGGATTATTTCCCAGTGGCTGGTGCTGGTTCTTCCCTGGCTCTTCGGAGGGGCGTTTTGGCTCAGCGCTGTGGCCCCAGCTGCTCATCCTCGGCGCTCCTCCCCGGTGTTATCCACAAAATCTTGTCCTGGATGTTCCTGCCGTGTGCCAGCTGCGAGGGGCTGTCCCTTCCCTCCCAATTAGACGTGGCTGGGGGATGAGAAGCTTCCTGCAGGCACCTGTTCCAAGGCTGCGAGCGCTAAAGGCAGCAGAGCCCTCTCATCAGAGCAGCTCCCCCGTCGCTGCCTTCAGAGTGAACCCGGGCTCTGCAGGGCCACAGAGGATGGAGCTCAGAGGCAAAGCAGGGCTGCAAAGCACTGCAGACATCACTGCTCCTGACGGGAATCTCCGGGGATGGGGATTTCCCAGCCTAGCCAGGCTCTTCCAGGGCTTACAGGTACAAAAAAAAATCCTTAATGGCTCGCCTTAATCTCACTTTTTGTCTTTTAAATCCTTTGCTTCTCATCTTATCCCCACTAGACACAGCAAAAAGGAAGGCTCCCCTCCTTCTGCAGGCAGGCTGTTTGTATTTAAGGCTCCCATCTTGTCTCCTGCCTTCCCTGGAAAAAGCCCATCCTACTCGGGCGATGAATATGCAGGGAAAGCTTATTCAGATAATACAGCTCTTTTTTCCAAGCTAAAAGATTTTGTATCCAGCTCTATCAATCTTGCAGGCTTTTGCATAAAAGGCTTCTCTGATTTATAGAGGGCTTTTGCAGGCAGAAATCATACCAAATAGACTAATCTCAAATGGGTTGGGTGATAAGATCAGCCAGACAAGTCGCTGATGGCAGATAGAAATGCAATCAAAAAAAGACATTGGAGTGTTTTGGGGTTGTTTGGGGGTTTTTGAGCTATAAAATCCAACTGCTCCATTGTGAAAGAAGGGACTCAAACCACTGGTAAACGCTGCACAAAGGAATTATTAGACAAGCCCACAGAGGCTGGCAGGTTCCCAAAACACAAATTGTCTCCGAGCCCAAAATATCTCTCGGTGAGAGGGAACATATTTATGAGCAGCGGTGATTTTCCAGCAGTTCTCATCCCCCCATAATGGGCACCGGGGCAGGGCCCTGTGCCCAGGCATTAAGCTTTGGCAAGGAGCAGGAAATCTTCCTCCTGGAGCTTCCACACACCTGCTTCTCCCTGTGCCCACCCCGACAATGTGATTATTTGCATCTTCATTCCGATTGTTCCTTGTTCCATAATGATTTTGTACACAGTGGAGTACTTAACCTAATTTGTATTGATCCCAATCACTCTCGTTCGTGCATACTTAATTCAGAGAGGTAATCAAATCGATTTCTGAGGCCCAGTTTTTAAGAGATTGTAGCAACAGGGATGTACAGGGGGGGTTGCTTTAAGTGAATCACGGCCAAAGAAAAACATTTCAAATCCTTGGGAAACGTTTGGATGGTCATTTCATTGTGCTCAGTATTACCAGAGTAATTACATTTCCCTCCCATCGAGTTCTCTCCGAAATGGGATTGAGGAGCAGCTTTATTTCCATCAGGCAGATAACTGGGTTTAAGTGACTCGGCACCCCCGTGGAACCACAAACGGGGGATCAATAGTCACAGCTTATCCTCAGGAGCCGTGGGGAGAGGACTTACTGCTGGATTAAGGGAATATTGGTCTCGGCTTGGCTCCTGCTTAACACCTGCTCTTTCCAAGTCACTTTTGCCAGCGGAGTAAAAACATCCCAAACCAGAAAGTCCCGGGAGCTGTTTTGTTGCCGTGTCCAGTATCCCGGCCCCGCGAGTGGCTCCTCTTCTCCCTGCCTCGTTCCCGGGGCTCCTAGGTATTTTTCAGGATTTCTGGCTGTTTGGAATGCATGGGGCTGGCTAAGTTCCTCTCTTCTGGGGAAGAAAATGGAAAATCAGAGTTCTGGTGGCAGAAAATCAGGGAATGAACTATGAGTGGGAATAGTCACAGTCACGGCTGCCGGTCCTGGCCGGTTGTCCATTTTCTCCCCTAGAATACGTTCGGTTTTAACCGCAGCCAATAAATCAAATCGTGCTCTCTTCCCTTCCCTCCACCCTTAAAACCTTCCTCTTTCTTCCCGGAAAACCTCCTGATTTTATGAGAGTGCTCCCCCCGTTTTTCTCTGCCCAGGCTCAGCGTTCGCCTTCGTGGGGCCTTTTCGAGAGCAAACTCAACAGTTCAAGGCAAGTATTTACTGAATGCATCGAAAAGCACATCCCTCTGCATTATTTATGACCAGATACCAATAACTGTAAAACGCAGAGGATCTCTGGACATAAATTAGTGATGGTAGGAAACACTCCACTCGTCCCAGTGTCCCGGAACCTTTTAGAAGCTGCAGCAAAGATGCTGGTGCTGGGGACATCCCCACGTGGATTCTGGACACGTGGCAAAGGAAATCCAGCCTCAAATCTGCTTTTGCAGCTCAGACAGGCAGCAGGACGTTAGAGGGGCAGTCAGAGAGCCCACATTCCTGCCTCCTGATGCCTTTGGGCTGATGAGCTCTGGAGACCTGACTCTGGCCACTGGGACACCTGCACCGTGTCCAGGCAGGAGCATCCCTGCTGCTCCCTGTTCCCACAGCTCCCAGTCGGAGTCCCTGTGCCCCTGTGCCTGCCCAGCTCCGGCCTGACTTTGGGTTAATTACAGACATTTCCACTGTCTGAGTCCTACCTCTGGGCCAGGTTCATCTCACATTCCAGACCTGCAGAATTATTTAACAGGGCTGCTTCGAGCCCGCCCACTTATCAATTCTCCGGGCCTGTTTTGTGCCGGCGCGTTCCCCGCCCGTGTCAACATATGGATTTTCTCCCCGTGCCCGGCGCAGACGGCCCTGGCAGGGCTATTTTTAAGTGTGTGTGGTATTGCTTTCAGCACTGGCTGTTCTCTCTCTGCTAATAAATACAGGGAGCTATTAATACGGAGGTTTTAGGAGCCATTAGCGGCGCTCGGCGCGGCCACGGGCCGGCACTGCCGCCCTGCCTGACCCGAGCTCTCGCCAGGCTTCACCCCTGGGGGATACCCCGGGAAGGGGGACAGGAGATGGGAGCAGTGCCCCGGGGGGTGGTGACACTGCGGAAGTCAGGTTGGAGGGGAAGGACCAAGGGGAGGTGGTGCCAGAGCCCCACCCTGGAAGGCTGAGCCGGGCCGTGGCAGTTTGTGCTGGCAGACAGGGTTTTGCCCTTGGTGGTCACCCAAAGCTTTGACCAGGGTTTGCTCTGGGGTGTTTAAAGGGATAAAACTCACGTGCAAGTGTTATTCCTGGCTGTTGGGAGGTTTTTGGGATGGGAGTGTGAATGCAGCCCCCTGGATTTCCCCGGGAGCCCTCAGATCCCCCGTGCCGGAGCGGTGCCGGCTCAGCCGGTGTCACACCCACCGGGTGGGTCTGTGGGCCCCACCCTGACACTTTCTCTCTGTCTCTGCCCACCCCTCCCCAGCCTGCAAACGCAAAGAGCAAGAGCCCAACAAAGAGCGGAACAGCTCCCAGAAGAAATCCCGCCTGGTGTTCACGGACCTGCAGCGCCGAACGCTCTTCGCCATCTTCAAGGAGAACAAGCGCCCCTCCAAGGAAATGCAGATCACCATCTCCCAGCAGCTGGGCCTGGAGCTCACCACCGTCAGCAACTTCTTCATGAACGCCCGCCGGCGCAGCCTGGAGAAGTGGCAGGACGACCTGAGCTCCGGGGGCTCCTCCTCGGCCCCCGGCAGCTGCCCCAAGGCCTGAGGGGCACGGCCGGCGCGGCGCGGCCGGCACGGCGCGGCAGAGAGAGCGGCTTGGCTTCCCGCAGGGCCCTCCACCGGTGACTTCTAAAGCACAATCCTCCCACGACCACCCCAGCCCAGCTGGCCCCGAGGGCGTCCCTACGGCTCCCCGTCGGTCCCAGCAGGCGCCGGTTCCACGTCCACCTCCCCCTGGACAACGCAAAGCTCAGGACAGGCGAGGCAGGTCTGAAACGCGGGGGAGCCGTTCCCGAGGCGAGTTTCTCCTGAGCCCGGACCTCCCCGGCCGGCGGGAGCTCCCGATCCGGTGCCTGCCGTGTGCTGGCCACACCGCCCCGCGAGAACGGAGCACAAAGCCCGGCACTAAAGAACCCCAGACCCCGGTTTTAAACTCAGGCGTGGTTTTCATTGAGCTTTTTTAAAGGAGAAAAAGAAAGATCGAATGTTAAGTTTTCCTTCGTTTCCTTAGCTTTAACTCAATCAGCTTGTTCTTGGATCAGAGCAATTCAGTTCCCTCGAGCTCAGAGTATCAAGCACAAAGCCGTAGCTACAGCCCTGGGCTCCCCGGGGCCGTGCCAGCTGCGGCCTGGCATCCCGGGAACGCCGCGGAGACCGCAGGAGCCCCAAGCACAGCTGGCAGTTCCTCCCAAGGTCTGTGTTTGTACCTCAGGCACACTCAGGAGGTCGATGGAACTGCTACAGTACGCGGAGCGAACACAACATTTCCAAAGATCTGGATTTCCTTAGGTCATTCTTACACCCTTTTTGGTCTCCCGGAATCTGGTTTCTCCTCGGCAACGTCCTCGTTACCGAAACCTTTTTAGCGTTCCAGGCATTTCTGTTCATTTTTTCCCGTGTTTTATGGTACTTTCAAGCAGGTAAAAAACCCCCAGAAACGAGCCCTCCGGATGCCACCGACCGTTTCAGACGTGCCGCATCGACCCCCCACCGCGTCCCCCCGTTCCCTTTCCCCGCCCGCCGCCCGAGCCGGCGGGAACACAGCACACCAAAGAGACAGGATTTCTGCAAGCCAAAGATGTTTCTAACCCGCCATTTCTCCTCGCCATGGCTGGTGTGGGTGGTCGGGCGGCGCCGGGGAGGCCCCCCGAGCTCCGAGCCCTCTCTCGGCCGCGGCCGCCCCGTGAGCGGTGACCGAGCGCGGCCGCGGCTCTTTAAAGAGACACTTGAGACTTTTTTTATGTGCTACTTAATCGAAACCAAAGAAACGTTTTTTCTGCACCTACTTCTTCTGCAACAAACTGTTCCATTGAAAGATAAAATAAAAACTTAAAAAAACAAAACAAAAAAAACAAAAAAACAACAACAAGAAGGAAGCGCGTCAGGAAGCAAACGAGTCCCACACTGTGTTTTACAGACATCTCGGACGTTTTCGGAAGCAGATCTCAAAGAAAGGGTTGACCAAGAATGAGAACAAAGCAAAGCCAGTACAATTGCTGCTTCATTTGACAACTCCAGTCATCCTAAAGTTGAAGATTGTCTTTAATTTGTGCCTATGCAGTTTTTTCAAAAAGAACAAGGAACAGAGCAACCAAAACCTCAACAGCTACAATACCAAAGATGAGGATTCTCACGACTTGTGTTTCAGTTTGTTTTCTCCTCTTGCACGACTAATGCACACAACCCCACTGGTCTCTGGACAGGTAACACTTCTGAGTCTTTGTGCAACCCCAAGGGTGGGTTTATTTGTTTCCCCTGTCTCTGCCCCCCACGGCAGCTCTCCGAGAGCTGCACGGACTCCGAGCGCAAGATGTTGGGATACTGGTACGTCCCCTCCCTCCAGGAAAAACCTGTGGGGTGGGGGTGACCTGTGTGTCGGTCTCCTGTGAACAGCCCCCCTCCTGCACGTGACAGCAGCCGAGAACCCTCCACCCTTCCACGAGGGTTCATTCCCACCCAGGTGTCCGTCCAACCAGCCCCTCCCCGTGCATTCTGAACACAGCACTGCCCTCACGGGAGGTGCCTCACGCTGGCAGTGTCCCCCCACAGTCTGCAGCGGTGCCAGGTGTCCGTCCCTTCCCTCCTGCCCCCGTAACCGTGGCAGGGGGAGGGATGCCAATCCCAGTGCCCGTTTCCCACCTTCCCTTCCTGCAGCTGCAAGGCAGGGAACGAGCCCAAGTCACCCTCTGAGCGTGTGCTGGACACTTCAGCCGAGGGACACCTCCCCTGGGGGCTTTTTATTCCTGCCCAGAGTTCCTCCCAACACCCTAACAAAGGAAATCTGGGTCAGTTACAAAACTATTTACAAATTTCTTCTGCGATTATTTACAAATTCCTCCTCGGTGCAGTCACCAGCTGTGACAGTGTTTGTTTAGGGCTGGGTAACAAACAACACCACCAGGCTTCTCTGGGCTGGGCAACAATCACAGGCCATTTTCATCCACAAATCCGGCTGCATTTTTTATCCCTGCCCCTCTCGTGGCCCCTCCTGTGACACCTCCCATCTCACTGCCCCCCTCGTGGCTTTTATGTAGCAGCTCCCTCAGAGGAGGAGCGTTGGAACCCCGGACTGTGGGGGGAGATCCCCGTGTGGGCGAGCAGAGTCCGTGCCCTATTCTGCCCTAATCCCAACTCCAGCAGACAAATCCCGATTCTGTGCCCTATATTTATGACTCTATAGAGCTGTGTAATGTAACTTGTTGCTTTATTTCTTCTGCCACAAAAAGACTGGTGTGCACAGAGAGTATCCCAGCATCTCCCGGACCGGGAACTTGGAGTTACAAGCGTGGGCACGGCCGAGATGAATTCAACTTTCAAGAAACCTTGGATATCGCTTTAGTTGCCCCCGCAGGAACAAGGAATGTGCTCGATGAACTTCGGTCGAATAGCTTTATTCTGGATCTCTCTGACCTACAGCTGAATCCAAAGACCTGAGAAGGACCCAACCAGCAAACCTCGCTCATCCCTGCCCGAGGGAAGGGGGATCCCAGCCCTGCAGGAGGGAAGGGGGGTCTCCCCTCCCCAAGGAAGACACGGTAACAACACAAACTGGCTTTGGACACAGCCAGTGCTTTTCTTGCTTGTCACAATTCCCGAGTATTTTTAAGACGCGGGGAAACTTTCTACGTGGCCTCCTTTGTATTTATTAAGGGGAATTTTTATTGGTTAGATTTTTTTAAAAAGGCAAAGCTTAAAATGGTTTTATTTTTATTTTTTTTTTCCAGACACCTGTGGGTTTTGACCCGATATAGTACCTATCAATAATGTAATTTATTTAATTTAGTCTTAGGGCAGGTCCTGAGATCTCTGTTCAGTCTGAATCCCGTTGAGTTGCATCTGAGCTTTTCAGTTCAGTGGGAGCTTTGCCTGAGTGCAGACTGCAGGGTCAGGCTCCCATGTTAGCTATTTGCAACTATTTAATTCCCTCATTTATGAACTCATTTGGGATTAATTCTGCTTATTTATCCATCTGACTGTCGTAGCGCATCAGAGATGCGAAGCCTGTCAGTAAATCCACTGAAGAGTTGGTGTTGCTCCCTAGAGCAGCCAGGTTCTGCTGGACAGGGAAAAACAACTCATTCCATGAAGCAGGAGTCCAGTTTTAATTCCCTCTTCTCATTAATTTTACTTGTTTAAGCATCAAAGTTTAAGTTATTTAAGTTAATCCGATTGGAAAGGGCGACGTACCTTTATTATGGCACATAACTAATTTATTTAACTTATTCATTTAACTTATTCATCACCGCCCCAGGATGCCCCTGTAGAGCTTTTTATTTTTTGATTTAGAATTACCTCTGAAGCACTACAGCTGATCTCCTGTAAGAGCAGCAGAGCGAACTTGGAGGACAAGCAATGAATACTCAAACCTGAAACTGTGTGTTCGGAAAAAAACAGTTAAAAAAAACAAAAAAAAAAAAAAAAAAAAAGACACCGGGATACTTTGCCTGAACTTTGTGGCTTCTTAAAGCTTAAGCTGGGGGTAAAATAATCCATGCCAAGCAAAAAGAGAGGAACCCTTAAACTAGCTGCTTCCAAGAATGAACTTCTGTGTGTGGAAAAAAAAAAGAGAAAAAGGAAAAAAAAAAAAAAAAAGGAAAAAAGAAAAAAAAAAAAACCCACAGAAAAAAACCTTTGTATTTCTAGTGAGAACCAAAGAGGCTACCTCACTGACTTTTCCATTTGTAATTTTAATCGTGTTGATGATACCAAAGATACCAAAGATTTCTTTCTCTGTGCGGTCTGCATCCTGCTTGTGCTCTCTGACAGCTCCCCCTCCGCTCTCCCCTGCCCTCAGCAACGTTCAGCTGAGCCCAGACTCCCAAAGAAACGCTTCCCTGGCAGCTGCCAGTTCTGGTGATGCCCTTTTCTGTGTTCCCTCTGCCTTCCTGCCAGCCCAGGCGTTCAGAGATGTGGAGCTGTGCCCACGCCAGGTTGTGCTGCCCTGGGGGTGAATCCAGGCTGTGCCCCTCAGACATTCCCTGGGGAAAGGCTCTGCAGGTGCCCCCGAGCCATTGGGGGGGGCATTTGCAGCAGCAATTAGCATCACTAATTATTATTAGCATCACTAATTATTATTTTCCTGCTTGAGCAGAGCCCACGGGCTGCTCTGGGGGCACCGTGCCCTCCACGAGGACCTGGCCCAGCGGGCTCCGCAGAGCCAGGGGCTGCTCCCTCCTCCTCCTCCTCGCCTCTGCTTGTTGTTTACAACTGCAGTTTTCACATAAAAATCAATTAATTACTTTTCTCGAGCTAGCACTGAGGCGAGGCTACATTAAGCTCCATTAGCCTCACGTTCCTGAGTGATTATTTCCAAGCCGGTCGGGGAATTAGCGGTGCCCTTTGGCACCGGTTTGTGCCACGGAACCAACACCCCCCTGGGCTCTGCTCGCTCTCCCCACCGCTCTGTGCCCCTGGGCTTCCCCCCAGAGCCCAGCCCGGGCTGCAGGGCCTTTCCCTAAGGGCTGTGCCTGAGCCATGCCCTTGGATTACGCTCCGCTTGAATGAAGCACTGCCTTTTATTTTGGGGCTTCTTTTGGGCTTTAGGTCTGCGTTGGAAGCGGTGGGACGGGACAAGTGTGCTTTTCTCTCTCTCTCTCTCCCTCCCTCCCCGTGTCCCTTCAACACAAAGCTATAATAATTCTCAGGATGCCTTCGGGGCGGGGGGAGCCGCTGTTCCCGGTGCCCTCGGACACAGCCCGTCCCCAGGGCTGGTCCCGCGGCCCCCGCCAGGCTCAGCCCCGCTCGCAGAGCGACGTTACCACGGGACGAGTGCCTTGCTTGAACCAAAGCAACCGCGTGGTTTTGCCAGTCTAGAAACCTCTCCGTGCTCTTTTTTTTTTGCTTTTTTATTCTTCTTCCTGTGAATACCTCAGCTTAACTGGGCCGCCGGCTCGTACCTGGTGGGCTTTGTACTGTGGTGCTTTGCAACGCAGCCCTGCAAAGAACAGACTCCTGAAGATACCAAAGGCTCTCCTCCTCCTCCTCCTCCCTCTCCCCAACCTCTCTCTCTCTCTCTCTCTCTCCACGGTTCCAAAGCTTTATTACAACCCGGGCACGTTGGCAAGGCAGACCGTGCAACCCCTCACCGAGTTTTCTCAGATATACCTCATAGAGAGTAGCTGTTTAGAGTAACGTTATTAGAGCGTATACGTAAGAAATTATTCGCCGTTTCTTTTTCGGTAACTGTGATTTAACAAAAAAAAAAAGAAAAAAAAATAAGAGAGAAGAAAAAAGCTTTATACGTTTTAGGTTGTGCTTTTGTACTTAGACGGAGAAGGTGCGCTTAAAAATGTACGTCGAGTCTTTCTTCCCCTTGGGTTTTTCTTTTGTTATTATGGATCGGGGGGGGGGAAAGTTGCAGAATGAGCCCAAAGTTTACAGTTTCATATTTTGCTGAAGAAACAATCTGTGTTCATTTGCTCTGTCGGGGGAGGGAGGGAGGGAGGGGGGGGGGGAAATAAAAAAAAGGAAAAAAAAGAAAAAAGAGGCAAAAAAAAAAAAAAAAAAAAAAAAGGATTATTTTCTACATTTGTGCTACTTGGTCTGAAGAGCTGATTGTCCTGTGTGACGGTGTAGTATTATAATTATGATTATAATTAGCAACTGCCAATCAGCGCTCCCATGTTTATGCATGAGGCAAACCCTTAGCAGTGTGATGCATCGTGGTTCTTAATGGCAACTTCTTCCTTTGGGTTTGGGACGAGCTCTTTCTGTTGGTGGTATTTATTTCTGCATGGAGCCTGTTACAGTCGTGGCGCAGTTGTGTTTGCATTGGCACTGGGAGAACAGCCCCGTGTGGGGGTCAGTACTGCTCAGGCCTGCTGGAGGGGGCAGCCCCTCACTCAGCCCCTCTGCCCCGGGGTCAGAGGTGTTTGCTAAGGTGCTTTACACCCCTTTGATTTGTCCCCGTGTCACATTCAGGCTCGAGCCCAGTTTCCAGCTGGGCTGTGTTTTCCCTCCGGGTCCAGCTCCCGGGTCACCCTGGCCATAAAGCCAACCCAACTGCCCCCTACTCTTCACTCTGTGTGGAAGAGGTGGCCCGGGAAGGGGGAGAGCCACAGCCTTCTGAGGAGGCATCTGAGTCCGTCAGTGGAGTGTTTATATCGTCTGTCATTAAGGGTACTTTAGAGATGTGCTTTCATTAGTGCAAAGAGACATTTTTTTCTTTGGCCTTACTCGGTAGGTTGTGGTGATTAATGAAAGCTGTGTAATATAGTCGGGGTTATTTTCCTTCCCTTCTTTCTCTGCCAAAGACAGTCACGGCTACAGGAACTTTGAACAGGGGGGGGTTTTTGTCAGACAGTTGATGATTGTACGAGCGGTTCATCCTCCCGAAATCTTCCCGCAATAAGGATCCCCGCACTCCTCACCGCCAGGAAAAACCCACACCTGCATTTCTCAGTCCAAAGGCAACAAGGGGTATGTGAGGCCGTGGCGGCTGCCGGTCGCCAGGGCACCTGGATTATGAAATTTGAGGTCTATTTTATTATGTCATTTTATGTCCTTTTTTAACTTCGTGGAAGGTGATACGTTGAACTGAGTGTCAGCTGAGTTTTTCAGACGAATAAAAGTAGCTAAAAGAGTGAATGTTATTTTATCATTAAAGGGTTTTTACTCACTGATTTGTGCCAATAGATGTCCTTTATCTCAATGACAAGTATTACATTGCTTTCAAAGTTTTATTTATAGCTATTGATGTAAAACCCACACACACATATTATTTGCCAAAGTTCAATAAAGGAGGAAAACAACACTTTTGCTTCCTTGTGCCATCAGAAGTTCCTGTTTTTTTCCAGGGTTTTTTTTTCCACCACGGCCCAATCCCACACCATGGGGTGAGGTGGAGCCAAGCCTGGGCTCGGGCTGCTACTGCTCTCAGGGGTATGGAGGGGTGAGGAGAGCTGAGCACAGGACCCAGTGTAGGGCCACGTCCCAAAAATGCTGCCTGGGGTGGAGGGCCTGGCCAAGTGAGCAAAAAGTACTTGGAAAAAGATCTGATGTCAAAGGAGAAATCCCTTCATTCATTCACCCCAGCTCTGGGCAAGTCCGGTTTGTTTTGTCTCCTGCACTGATGTCATCGTAAGCAGATCAAAAGCAAAACAAAACGCACAAGGAAAAGCACTTTCCTGTGCTTCTCCTAAAAAAAACAAACATGCAACCGATCCTTTCCTCCCCCAGCTCTCCCCAGCTCCATCCCTCTGCCCACGCGGAGCCAGGGGCAGGGGCAGCACGGGCAGGACCCCAGACCCCCCCAGACCCCATGTCCCACCCCCAGGGCAGCACTGCACGGTACATTATCTGGGATCTACCCTTGGCACCGAAGTTTAACCTTGGGGTTAATAAACTCCCCGAAAAATTTGTTTTCACGCCCGTTCTCTCCGCGCCCCTCTCTCGCACCCAGCCAGGTTCTGCCATTAATTAAATTTACGCTGCTTCATTTCACTTTGCTGAGGGGCCAGGGGTGCAGATCAAGGCAGAGCTGCCTCCTCAGCACTTTGTGGCACAGAGCCCAGGCCGTGGCTCTTCCAGGCTCCTTTCCTTCACCCTCTGCCCGGGCTGTGGAGGAGGCTCCCGTGGAACAGGAGGGCCCTGAGCTCCCCGTGCCCTCCAGCTCCAGGCACCCCCGGGGCCGAGCCCCCTTCCTAGGCAGGGCTCCAGCCTCCTCCAGGGCAGGGAGAGGAGCACGTGAGCCACCGGGAAGGGGAAAATCACTGTCACACCAGAGAGAGAAAAGCAGTGACACCGAGACTAATGCAGCCGCGGCGGGTCATTTCCATTTCACTGGCGGGATCGTTCCCCCGGGAATGCATTTTCCAGGCACTTAGCAGTGGGCACAGCTGGGAGAAGGAAAGGGGACCATTTCATTAAGCTGCCAAAAAGCTGACGGATGATCTGGGTGGGTGGCAGGGTTGCAGCTGGGCTGGGATGCTGCACCAGCATCAGCTTGTCCCAGTGCCAGGCACTGGGGGCCAGGGCTGACTCTGTACCCAGGGGGAAGGGATCAACTTCCCTGTCCCCGCTGGAGCTCACTTCAGTGAACTCCCCTCAACTCACTACCAGGCATCACGCAATTATTCCAGGCTAAAACGCGTTAAAACCCCTCCGATTGGTCACCGGCGACAAAAAACAAACCAGCAAAGCAGCACTCCCATCACAGGGATGCAGGGACACCCCGGGGCAGCCAGGCCGGATGGTGTCCCTGCCTCACGGAGCAGGGGGTGCTCCCCAAAACCTTCACCCGCATTGCAGGGCAGAGCAGCCCAGCCCTAAGGAGCAGATGCCTCCTCCTCCTCCTCCTCATCATCATCATCCTCGGGCAGTGCCGGCAACGGCAGTGCATCCGTCAGGATGAACTTGACAGTAATGATGTGCCGGGAGGGACCCGCAGGGAGCACGGCGCGGGTCCCTCCTGACTGCAGATGAAGTGCCGGCAGCTTTCCTGAGCCCAGCGCTCCGCAGCGCTCGGAACCCCGCGCGAATTCCCTGGGAACAGAGCCTGGGAGGCAGCCCGCGGGGAAGGCTGCACACCCACAGCGAGGGGGCAGGGTGAGAGAAGGAGGTTTCTTTTGGGGGGAAACAGCGGGAGGTTCTGCAGTATCGCTGAGACGTATTTTCAGCACGCGTGGGATGGAGGCGCTTAAAGAAAACAACCCCTGGGGACGGGCGGCACGGCGGGGTGGGATGGTCGGTAGGGAACAACCACTGTCGATGCCCCCCACACCGAGAACAAGGCAAGGGCAGCTCTGCCCGCACAGCAGAGCCCGCACCCTCCGGGAGCTGCCTTCGGCCTCCGCACAAACCTCCGGCAGCAGCTCCAGGGTCCGGCTCAGAGAGGGATAATGGCAGGAAGCCATAAGATATTAACCCAGCCGATTAAAACAAACAAGACCACTTTGGGTCATGTTACACATCCCTTCCCTCCCCGGCTGACAGCAAAGAAATGCAAGGCAGTAAAAGACAATCGTAGCCCATAATGGCCCAATAACTCCGGGATAAAAGCGCTGGGGGAGTTGGATGTGAGGAGCCGCCCCACCCCCGGAGCCGCTACGAGCATTATCCCTTAAGTGCTCGTTTAAGCTTCCTTGGAAGTGCCGCCTGCCCGCTGGAGAAATGCAATTAGGCCTCGATTGCGGGTGATGTTCACACGTTATGGATCATCCTTAAAAATGACAGCAAAAGAACTCTGGATTCCGCATGACAGCTGCCTCTCCATCCTTCCAGGAGGAAAACCAGCAGCACACCCACCCCGTTCCCACGGACACGGGCAGTGAGGGCAGGGACCTGTGTGCTGCTGGGCCACGGGCAGCATCAGGGGCCAGCCCTGCCAGGGCACCAGGGGGTACAGTCCTTCCCAGAGGGCACAGTCCTTCCAGGAGGGCACAGACCTTCCCAGGGCACAGACCTTCCCAGGGCACAGTCCTTCCCAGAGGGCACAGACCACATCACTAGCAGCAAACGATCTCACACCCCCCCACGAATTCCGAACTCCTTGAGCAGGACCCTCCCTGTGCCCACACGAGGCGTGAGGCGCTTGCACGCCCAGCAATGTCCGCGAGCCCCAGCCCGCCCCGGAGCTGATCCCCCCTCTCCAGCCCTCAGCCGCACGTACCTGCTCTGCAGTTCCAGGCTCCTCCGGATCCCACATCCCGGCTCTGTCTGGGGAGGCGCTGCTGTTCCTGAGGGCTCTGTCCAGGCTCGGTCCTGCTCTGCCCTCAGCTCTGCCCGCCTATTTCAGCCCTCGGCCGCCGGTGAGGGGAGATTTCCCGCGCGTTCCTGAGGGCGCCGGAGCCTCCCACAGGCCGGTGGGAGGGAACGCCGCCCCTCAGCCGTCGGGGAAGAAGGGGCTTTGCCGCGGGCAGGGACAACTCCCACTGTCCCGGGGTGCCCCGGGTGTCCCGACACCTCAGGGGTGAGGAAGGGCTTCCTTTCCCCCTCACGGCCCCGGGATCTCTCGGCCTTTGGGGCTGGGATGTCACGGGCGGCGCTCCCAGAGCGCCCCCTGAGCCCGGGGGACCAAAGGCCGCGGCTCCCGGAGATGATCCCTCTCCAGACACACAGTCCACCTGGAAAGGACGCTGTCCAGCCAGGCCAGTGGATTCAAATTAAATAATGCTGAGCACAAATTTAGCAGGAGAGAAAAAAAAAAAAGGGCAGGTTTTAGACCTGGTCCAAATTCATAAATCCCTGTGCTCCACGGGCAGGGGCAGAACCTGCTCCTGAGGGCTTGAAATGCTGAATTATAAATAAATCCCTTGCCCAGGGCACCCCGGGTTGTGCTGCTGGAGACAAGTACTTCCACACGGGATGAGACACAGCACAGCCCACACACGCTCGGGAATTTGCTCACAGAAACACAGGGAGGAACGTGGCCAAGCGGGAAAGCAGGTGGAAAGTGAGCCCTTCAGAGGGAAGGAGGGAAGGAAAAGTGCTTCCATAATGTCAGACTCAAATATGACACTGCTAAAGCTCTGCCGTGCTCACACAGCCAAATCCCTGTTTAGAGGTAAAACGGAAAGCTGAGATTCCAGAGGAAAGGAAGGAAGGCCCATCGCTGCTCTCCTCCGTTCTTCCCAGCCTCCATCCACCCCCCCGCTCTCTCCCTGTCACAACTCAGTAACAAGAGCTCACTAATGGATCAGCTTAAGTATCCAACAGCTCCAATCACTGCTCTAGAAAATAATCAATCAAGCACTTAATTTGTAACATCAGCAAGGAGCTGCCCAGAGACCACGGAATAAATTATCCAGCACAGGTGGGACCCAAACCAGGGCAAACCTTGGAGTCACCGTCTTCTCCAGCCTCTTTAGGGGGTGTAACTCACCCCAGCCTGACCCAGGGGTGCAGAGAGGACCCTAAACACCAGCATAAAGGGCTCTCAGAAAGACACATGGCTCAGTCATTTCTTCCAAAAAAAGTTTAATTGAGATTCCATCCTTATGGCAAACAACACACAGTAGGATTATCCAAACGGGCTGTGTTACATCAGTGGAAGTCCTTGGTCAGTCTGAAATGCATATGTTGGGCTAAAAGCAAGTACCTGTGCACATCTGGCATTAAGAGAATCAAAGGAACTGCTCTCACTTGCAGCCTACCCTTCATGGTGACTCCCAGCTCTCTGGGGTAGTGGAAAGGGAGAATACATGGAGCTTTTAGGTGTGCCTAGGAAAAGCCTGGCCCCTCTGAACTCAGCTGTGCTCAGACACCCTGCACACACCTTTCAGTGTCACAGCACCTTTTGGAAGCTCCCACCTCCTCTGAAGCGCAGCCAGGACCGAGGGAGACGTGAGAGAGGAACTCAGAGGAGAAAAACTTCAACTCAGCAAAGAAAAGACAAAAGCCAAACTACAGAGAGTGAAATCAGGAGAACAACCACATCCCCTTTACTTCCCATTTCTTTCCTCAGGACACTACTCCTGTTCCTAACTCCTTGATTCCCAGTCGACATCCCGAGGCCAGAGCTCCACAGTGCTGGCTGGGAGCGCTGGTGGGAAGCAGGAGTGCCACTGCTAACAATCCCACTGGACTGGTGTCCACGGAGCAGGGTCTCCCAGGTGCTGCAGGCGTGGGAAGGGCTCTGGGTCCGGAGTTCGTAGCACCAAAGGTTTCACAACGTGCAGGAGGGACACAGGGAACACTCACAGGCTGCAAACTCCGGAGCTACACACCACTGGAAAGGGCTGAGGAAGGCACATGCAGAGATGGGATTCATCCCTCCTCGGGGCAGACACTCACCCAACCCAGTGACACGGGCTGGGAGAGACGAGGGACTCCTCAAAAACCTCTGTTAAAACTAACAAACAGTACCACCAGCTCCGGGAGACAGGCCCCCTCTGCTAAAAGCTGGAAAATTAAGTGGTTTCTACATGATGGCCTAATAGCAGCCACGGAGTAATTATCCCACGTGCGGTTAGAACAGTCAAAAGTGAATTTTAAGTACCTCTTATTACTGGGGACAAACATAATGCCTCAGAATCAGTGCCAGCTTGTACCTTCAGCGCTCTCTCCAGCATGGAAACGGAAAGCCAGTCTGTATTTATAGTACCACAAGGTTCATATGAAGGGAACCCTCACTCCCCACACCTGGAAATGTGCTGGTCACAGCCTGGGCCACCCCGAGGTCCACGTCCCCTTCAGCTGGGAGGAAACAGGAGTAGGAAGATTTGATAAACCAGCTCGTTTTCCACTGCCCCCAAAGTGTCACACAGAGAAGGGGGAACAGAGAAAGTTCTGTGTCCAAGGAGAGACGTAAGGCCGGTGTTCCCAGACATGCTGGACATTTGAGCTCCTCTTTCCTGCCAAGGCAGCAAGCAGAGAGCAAGGATGGAGCAAGAGGGGGAGAAGAGATGCCTCTGGCTCCCTGCCACTGCCACAGGCACAGGCTTGGAGGGGCAAGGAAGACTTAGTTCTGCGAGGGACAGCAGTGATGCAGGAGGTTCTGGCACTGCAGGAATCTCAGTCTGTCTCCCCCTGGGAAGCAGCTATGGCAGTGGAGACAGGCAGCTCTCCAGAGGGATCAGGCAGCACTTGGCCCACGGGCTGCTCTACACATCCACCCGCTCCTTTAGCATCCTGCCTTTAGTTCTTCCAGCAGGACAGGACCAAACAAAGCCCTGACACGCCACGAGAGGCCTCTTCTCTCCTTAAACACCGCTCTGCAAAGAGCAGAGGTTCCGACTGGCCGTGCCTCGCCTTTACCTGAGCAGATGAACCTGGACGAGCAGCGTGGCTTCCCAACCACCAGCAGGGATTGCCAGGAGCCAGCCTGCAGCATTTCAGTGCTAAGGACATCAAGTAAACGTGCCCCCCCAAGGAGGTGACAGCTCCACCACCACAGGTATGGCTCAGTAACGGGGTCACAGCTCTGGGGAGGTCCCTGTGCCCGGCCTGGGGGGCTGAGTGGGGACAGCAAAGCCCCTCCTGGCCCAGAGCACCCTGGGGCTGCCCCCTCAGGCACCTGCAGTGTACAAATGTAAATCACTCCTCACTCCTCATCTCCATTTAAATAACATCCATCGAGCCAGATCAATCCCACCCATGGCACTCCATAGGTCTCCCACAAAACCCACAGCGCTGTGGCACAGTAGAAAGCACAGAGGAGATCTATAAACCTTCTGGAGAGCAAGCCTGACTTCCTAAACTTACTTAGCCAAACCGAGAAAGCCCTTTTCAATGAAAATAACAATAATTCAAAAAGCCATTCTGCTTAACATGTTTCCACACACGCTCCTGCTGGATTTGACACACGCAGTTGCAATGGAACATGTTCTTCAGTATCACCCAAGCAAGGCTTATTCCTTTCAATTTATGCTCTTCAGATGCTTTCCTGCAGATAATGACAATGCTTTTTCTAGAAAATGTAAACAATTTTTGTGCATTCTACTGTCCCAGCTAAGCTTTCACTGGAAGTTTCTGGCAGGAGAAAACCAAACAAAACAAAGCCTTATCTTTATGCCCTAAAAAAAAAAAAATATATATATATATATTTATGCACACATTATTAAAAAGCATTAGAAGTCACTTGATTTCCAAAGTCTCCAAAGCCAGCTGCAAAGTCCCTCTCAGAAGAGACAACTGGTGGCTGTGCTGGTCAGACTTGCACCTTAAGCAAACCCAAAATAACTGCACACTTGACCTGGCAAGCTGAAGGTACTGCATTCGTGACCAACCTGCACACAAACATACCCTGCATAGAAAGAGAAGAAGCTGTGGGAGTTTCTCAGTGCTGGGCTCAGGCTAAGCGCCCCCGGGGTCGGGTGAGATCCCCTCACAGCTGACAGGAGAAATGCCCTCCTTTCCCTACGTCCTACAAACTCTTCTCGAACGCAAAGAAAACATCAGAGAAATGAACCCAAAGGCGAGCTGCCCGTGCTGGCACGGGAGGTTCACAGAGACCGTGAGTGAGTACCGGGGTCTCCTCCCTTGCCTGGGGCCGTTCCTTGGCAGTTCCCGAGGGACGAGGGACGGGGGCGGCTGTGCCGGGCGGCTGTGCCGGGCTCACAGCGGCTGGTTGGCGAAGAAGGCCTTGGTCTCCCTGCACACGGGGTTGACGCAGAGCGGGCAGCACAGGGTCAGCTGGCGGGAGCACACCTCGTTGGACTGCAGGTGGGAGCACACCAGGTCTGCCAGGGCCTGCGGGCCGGGGGGACAGTCAGGGGGAGCCGGCCCGGACCCGCCGGAGCGCGGGCACCAAGCCGTGCACCCCCTCCTAACAAAAACCCCACACAACATGGCACAACACTCCGCTGGAACAGGTACAAGGGGGGCCACTTCCATTAAAACTGCAGGGAAACAGCCGTGCTCCAGCGGGAAACACACGACTGCAAACCTCTGCAGCCACGGCCACAAAGCACCCACCTTGGAGAACAGCGGGTTTCCATTGAGGGACTCTGCTCTCCTGATGTTCTCAACTCCGCACTGGATCAAAAGGAAAAAGGAAAAAAAAAAAAGTTAGATCTGCCAGGCCCTTCGCAACCTTCCTGCTTCACTCAGAAGTCGCCTCAAAAATGACAGAATAAAGTGCAGTGCCGTGTTTTTTTTTAATGCAGCAAAAATAACTATGCTGCAACATTTCACTCTGCTGCCAAAAAAGTCATTTACTCTTTTTTGGCTTAAAGAGTTAAATCTAGAAAGACAAATTCCCACCTGTTTTGTGGTTAAGCCAGTTCAGATTAATTTTCAATTTGCAAGAAAAATAAGGCTTGCCCTAGAATCGTATTGCAAGAAGCAGCTACAAAGCAAATTGCAACCCAGGAGAAGTAATTCCAGAGCAGCACTGCCCAAACAGGTACAAACCCCACAAATCATTTACCTCGTTTGCTAAAACCTGGGAATACTCGATGTCCAGCTCATACAGGGTTTCGATGTGGTCACTTGTAAATGCTATTGGGACCAACAACATGTTCTTCTTTCCTCGTTGGCACAGCCCTTTAATGGTCTCGTCTGTCTGGGGACCAAGCCAAGGCATTGGTCCAACCTGGAACAAAAACAGGGAAATAAAGAAAAACACCTCATGAAATCATTCTTGCAAACCACCCTCACGTGTTCTTGGGCAGGACCACGCAGACCAGATTATGGATAGGATAGAAACAGCTATTGGTATTTCCCTGTTTTTGGTTGTGCTGCTCACTTTCACCACTAAATCCCAAAGGAACAGAACCTGGGCCGGCCTGAGCAAGGCTGTGGTTAAAATAAATGAAGATGTAAATAAAGGTGTACCCTGCCCAGGCTTTACCTGCCTCAGCTTCCCCGAGCACATACCTTGGACTGCCACACGAGCCTGTAAGGGTTGGAGTAGTTGAGCTTCTCCATGACCCTCTGGACTGTGGCTCCCACTTCTTGAGGATACGGATCCCCCCGGTTCACCACCTGCGACACAAACACAGCAGCCCTTTCTCTTCCAGTGAACACACTGGCCTGGCACAGCTGTGTCCTCACACCCTTCCCCTCAGCAGCACAGCTCAGGGCTGAGCAGGGCAGGAGAGCCCCAGGTCACTCACAGACATGGGCAGCGAGTGGGCCGAGAAGAGGATCACCACGTCTTTCCTTTTGTCCGGAGGGAACAGGTTCAGCTCCTTCTGGATGTGATCAGCGAAGCACTGCTCAGAGGAACAGAGAGCAGAGACCTGAGCTGGGAACTTTGGGGGGCACTACTGCTCCCAGTGACCCACACAGGCAGAATTCCCAAATTCCCCTCAGCGCGCACCACGCTCAGGTGGCTCATCCAGGGAATGCCACCCAGCCTTCCGAAGCCTTCCTGTTATTCCTCCCCAGTACTTTTTTCTATTTTTTAAAAGAAAATATATAAACCTCAAAGGCTTCAAAGGCACACCTGAATGAGGAGGGGGTGTGTGGGCCACCGGTCGATAATGCTCCACTTCATCTTCGGCTTCTCCCCCTTCTCATTGTAGTAGCGATAAATGGCATTTAAACTGCTTCCTGAAACCCAGAGAGCAGAGAACACCAGCTCAGCCAGGCCCTGGCAGATTGCAGCAGCTCGGCAGCAAGGCATGAAGATATCTTAAATCGCTACACAATTAAAATGCAACCGTGACTCAGAGCTGAGAGTCTCAAAGGGGAACGACTCTATCCAAGGTCACGCAACGTCACCATTTTATCGATTGATCCGAGTTCACAGCCACGGGTGTGCCCCTGCCCTGCCCCAAGCTCACCTGTGGTGGAGCAGCTGTACTGGGGGTACTGGGTGAAGGCGACGGCCCTCTCGATGCCATCCTTCTCCATCTCCTCGATGGCCTCCTCGGTCAGCGGGTGCACGTAGCGGAACCCGATGTAGTACTTGTGAGGTGCTGCCAGCCCGGGCACAGGGACAGGAATGGCACAGAAGGGGTGAGAGCTCACAGCAACGTGTGTAAAATGCACAAGAGCCACACAGACCGAAAACAACTGGTTGGTAATTTCCTGGCTACTTTTCTAAGCACTGCCATATAAACCCACCTTTCTCTGGCACCTCGCTTCGCCGTGATTAGAATTTAAAAGTGATTCATACCTGTGGTTTGCTTCTGCTGGAACATCACCCTCCTGCTTTTCCCCAGTTTAGCAGAGGTGTGGTTTCCAGCCTGAAATGTTTCACTGGGCAAGTCCTGATTTCAAGGACGTATTGGTAAAAAGAAGTGTCACTAAATGAACACTTGGATGTCCTCGCACAGATCGCAGCTCCAGCTGCCTGCCCTGCCCCAGTGGCACCAAACCCCCAAGGACCAGGACCCCAAACAATGTTTGGGGCAGGAGAGCAGTGGCACTGAAACAGGGACACGTGTTCTTCCATTCTGCCTCTGGAGGAGGTTCACAGAACCCTTCCTGCCTTTAAACACACTATTTTGCAGGCAATATTACGCTCTTCAAGGACACTGCAGGTTTCCCAGCTCTAAGCTTTCGGGTGGCAGCTTTGGGAGCACGGCTTGGTTAGGGGGAGGGAGGGCAGGTTTGCTGTTTTGTTTTCTTAAGCAGAGGACAGAGGTTCTCGGGAGAACAAAAGCAAAGTTTCTTTTTCATGGTTTCTGGGTCACTGGCTCTGAAATAACATTTAGCAGGGCTCTGAAGGAAGCAGATGTCCCGTGCTTGGGCTGCACTCCATACATTTATGCAGGATTCAGAAAACAGGTTTAGTCAGCCCCAGTTCTCTGCAGGAGGCAGGAGAGGTCCCAGCTGGGAGCAGCAGCAAATAATAACCCAACCTGGGGAGCCCTCGGAGCCAGTAACCTCATTAACATTTTGGAATGGCATTAAGGACCAGAGCCTGACTCACCCCAGCAGGGACAGCGGGAGTTTAACCCGGGAAAGAACATTCTGGGGAAAATCATGGCCAACCTGGGAGTAACACTCTGGCAGATCAAGGCAAAATGACCCTAAAAGTGTTCCTTTGCAGCACCCAGTTACTGATTAACGGGGCTCAGCGCTCCCAAAGCCCTGCCTGTGAGCACACAGTATTCCCAGCTGCTCAGCCTGGAAGCACATCCAACTGCTCCAAGCTGTTCTGAAGGAACACTGAAGGCAATGGTTGGCAGTGCTCAGCACATTCCATTGTTCAAAAGGAGTCTCCAAAGGACTTATCAGGCGTGAGAGGAGCACAGAGGTGGGTGTGACTGCTCTCGGAGAGTGCTCACCAAACAAAAGTGGGAGTGGGACACTGGGAGAAGCAGATAAACCTTCCCAGCCTTATCTGCAGAACCTGCTGCAAGCCTGGCCCTGCAGGGGCTCCTGCTCTAAGAACACTGGGTGCCACAGCAGGCCTCTGGCTGTGCCTGCAGGGACCACAGCTGGAGTGAAGTTGGGGAGTCACATCTGTGGGAAAAGGGGTTGAACAGCACCTGAATGAAGGCACCAGTGACACGTTACGCACGAAACAGATGAAATGAACTTGGTTCCAGCCTTGCAAGAGTGTCACTTTTTACCTTCCAGACCCTTTCAGCAGTCTTTCAACTCCTATTCTAACCTTTTCTGTCCAAGCCTGACACAGGGGCCACAAAGAACTACAGAATAGCTTGGAATGAAACAACCTCTATTGTCAGACGTGGAGGGGATTCCCTGCCACACCAGCAGCACATCAGCAAAGGTCAGGGAAACTGGAAGGAGCAGAGGACTTGCAGCACCACATGTGGTAAAGCTGCTGAGCTGAAGAGAATGGAGAGCTCTCTCCCCTCTTTGGCTTCTCCTTCCTCCAGCAGTTCTCCTGTGACAAATGTTTAGTGTTCCCACTTCACACACAAGTCACAGCTCCCTGCTGGGAGGGAGAGAAGTTCAGAGGCATTCTGTGATCCTGAGAGAGGATTGCTTGCACCTTTCAAGTTTTCTCATGGTGAAGGAAGGACTTGCAAGGAAAGCATCTCCTTCCACCCCAGCCAAACTGCCTGGCCTTATCTCCTGCTGTGCCCCAGGTGGGGCTCTGCTATCGCTGAGCCAGGCCCTGCACTGCTCATCTACAGAGCCTTGTCTTTGCTTCCAAGTGACCTCCTCTTCAGCCCTGTAATGACTTCACAATGAACTGAACCCCTTTCTCTCCAAGCCTTCTGCAGCATCCCTGCCACGATTTCCCAGCAGGACTGAGACTCACCCCACACCCTTTGAACCCCGAGAGCCCCCGCCCAGCAGTACCAGTGTGAGGGGACATGCTGTCCAGCAGCTTCACCATGCCTTCTCCCTGCACCGCCGTCCACTTCTTGATGGGGGAGCCGCCGCCGATCCTGCTGTACTGCTCCTGGATCTTCGGCGTGCGGCGCTTGGCGATGAACGGGGCCAGTTTGCTGGAGCAGCCCAGAGGTACACGAGTTAACAGCAGAGCCCACACCACCACCCCTTCCCCCTTTCCCCCCATCTCCGGTGTTTGATTCCCTCCCCCTTCCCACAGCTCAAGCTGCATGAGGAGAGAACCGCCTCGGCCCAGCTATTTCTAACGCCGCTTCTTGCTGCTCCCAGGCTGAGACAGCCTCAGAAACGCTGCTCTGCACAGAGGGTAAATCAGCCAACACTGCCCGTGCCCCAGGAGATCCCAAGGCTCCTCACTTTTGAGCCGGCATCGTCATCAGATCCCTGTCCAGGAAGAGGCGCAGTAGGAAGTCGTGGACGTCATCCAGCCGCTCCGGGCCTCCCATGTTCAGCATCAAGATGCCAGTTTTAGGTTTCCTAGGGAAGCAAGAGATAGTTCACATCCCACTGACCTACTGCTTTTATTTTTATTACTGCGATGAAACAACCAGCTTGTTCTCCCACATTTGTCCTTTGCAAAGGCAGCTCTTATGCAGAGGCTCCTCCTGCTTCCACAAACACATGAGCTACGAGCCCGAATGGCCAGAGACAAATACTTACATGATCTTTGCTTTTTTAAAAAGTAACCACTTTGTAGCACAGACTTTAGCTGGAAACACACTGAGGAAGCTGCGCCTGGCACCTGCAGGCTCTAAGGGAGGTTATAAAACAGAGTCTAAGGAATGGTCTCAGCTGTGGATTCCAACCGAACCAAGCAGCAGGAACCAGAACCACAATAACCATAATTAATGCTCTTCCACTGCTCCTGCACCGCCTCGGGCGTGTCGTGGGCCAGGGCCTCGGAGGCTGTGCAGGAACAGCGCTGTCCCTGCCCCGGGAGGCCGGGGGAGTGCAGCCAGCCAGATAAACAATCTCACACACGCACAGAGCAGCCGGCTCTGCGGGAACAGCGGCTCGGTATCGGGGGGAGCCAGAGGGCTGGGGAGCAGGGCCCACCCGCCCGAGCACACCTACCGCTCCTGGGGCTGCACCCGGGGCTTGGCGCTCTCCGTCACCACCGCGGCCGCCGCCCGGCCCTGCCACCGCACCGGCACCCGCAGCGGGGGGCTGCTCCTCGCCACTGCAGGGGAGAGAACGGCACGCTGAGAGCCCGGCCAGACAGCACTGACCCCCCCACTGCCACACCGACACACTCGGAGCGTCTGCTCCCGTTAGCTCCAGGCCCCGGGATCAAAGAAGTCGAGAAATCACAACGTCTGAAAGTCTGGATTTCAGCATTAGCCAAACCCCAGCGTTTTACAAGTAAAGTCTTCCCACATCCACCTCCCCCTCCAGCTCTCTCGGAGCCCCTTTAGGCCCTGCAAGGGGCTCTCAGGTCTTCCTGGAGCCTTCTCTTCTCCAGGTGAACCCCCCCAGCTCTCCCAGCCCGGCTCCAGAGCAGAGGGGCTCCAGCCCTTGCAGCATCTCCAGGGCCTCCTCTGGACTCCTCCACATCCTTCCCATGTCAGAGGTCCCAGAGCTGAACACAGCTGGATTATCTTTAAGGTTCCTTCCCACCCATTCCACATGACTCCATGCCGGCCACAGCCTGCCTTCTCAGAAGCACACTTCATTCTCCTCAGGAGCTCACAGTCATTACACGATATTTTTTCAGTGTAACAACAGCGTGAATTGCTCACGATGAAAAGAACGGTTCAGTGCTGCACCCCCGGCTATTGTTCGGTGCGACAGCTCCCTGTCAGACCACGGGAGCTCGGCAGCAATTGAGCCCCGGCAGCACAGAGCTCCTCGGCAGCCGACCCACCCGCTGGGAAGAGCATCTTCCAGCTCACAGTTCCCTAATAACCTCCTGAACAGACCTCAAAACCTGCTGAAATCAATGACAATCCAGCTTCTCACTCGGGATTACGAGCGTGTAGCTGCGGGCGCCTGTGAATGCGCTGATATAAAAGGCTGCAAACTAAAGAACTTCAATTCAAGCACTGCTGAGTCCTGAAAGGCTCTTTTCAAACACAAATATTCACGTCTCTCCCGATTCTTAGTTTATTGCTTTTTGAGGGGCTGACGCTGCACGCAAATCGCAGAGAACGACAAAAAGAGAAGTTTCAAAGCTGCGTGGCTCTCTCTGCGCTTTCAAACGGGAGGGCGGCTCCTCGGCAGTTATACTGCGGAGGGGGAAAAATTAATATGAACACAGAAAAACAGGTGAGGGGACCCCGCAGGTGAGGGGACCCCTCAGCCCTCAGGTGGGGAGACCCCGCAGGTGAGGGGACCCCTGCGCCCCTCAGCCCTCAGGTGAGGGGACCCCGTAGGTGAGGGGACCCCTCAGCCCTCAGGTGGGGAGACTCCGCAGGTGAGGGGACCCCTGCGCCCCTCAGCCCTCAGGTGAGGGGACCCCTGCGCCCCTCAGGTGGGGAGACCCCGCAGGTGAGGGGACACCTGCGCCCCTCAGTCCCCAGGTGAGGGGACCCCGTAGGTGAGGGGACCCCTCAGCCCTCAGGTGGGGAGACCCCGTAGGTGAGGAGACGCTCGAGCCTCGCAGCCCTCAGGTGAGGGGACCCCGCGGGTGAGGAGACCTCGTAGGTGAGGAGACCTCGTAGGTGAGGAGATCCCCGTAGGTGAGGGGACGCTCGAGCCTCGAAGCTCTCAGGTGAGGGGACCCGGGGGTGAGGGGACCCCTGAGCCTCGCAGCCCTCAGGTGAGGAGATCCCCGTAGGTGAGGGGACGCTCGAGCCTCGAAGCTCTCAGGTGAGGGGACCCGGGGGTGAGGGGACCCCTGAGCCTCGCAGCCCTCAGGTGAGGGGACCCGCGGGTGAGGGGGTCCCCAAGCCTCACAGCCTTCAGGTAAAGAGACCCCCGAGCCTCGCAGCTCTCAGACAAAGAACCCTCGCAGCCTTCCGCCCGTTTAGCGGAAAACCCACCCCCGCCCTGCCCAGCCCGCTGCGGTAAATGAGCGGCCCCAGAGTCCTGGGGGCAGCGGCAGCCGCAGCCCCGCCGGCCCCGCGCGGGTCAGCGTTACGAAAGGCGCTTCTCGGGCGTTGTGTAACGCGGTGCCGCCGCCGCCGCCGCCCTCCCGCCGCCGCCCCCCGCGGTGACCGGGAGCCCTCACGCCCCCGCCGCCCTCAGAGCCCCGCTCCGCCATCGCGGCGGCGCCCCCGCACTCACGGTGACGTCCCGCGGCGGCAGCGGCGGCAGCAGCGGCCATCTTGGCCGGGCGCATTCCCTCAGACAGCGCCGCCGCCGCCGCCCCGCGCCTTACACCACCTCGGGACGGCCAACAACACCTCGGGACCGGCCCCGGCACCGCCCCGGCCAACACCGCCCCCGGGACCGGGACGGCCAACACCGCCCCCGGGACCGCCCCGGGACGGCCAACACCGCCCCGGGACAGCCAACACCCCCCCGGCCACCGCGCCCCGGGCCAACACCGCCCCCCCGCCACCGGGACCGCCCCGGGACGGCCACCACCGCCCCCGGGACCGCCCCGGCACCGCCCCCACCCACCGCCCCGGGACGGCCCACGGCCAACACCGCCCCCGGGACCGCCCCGGTACAGCCAACAGTGCCCCGGGACCGCCCCGGGACGGCCAACACCGCCCCCAGGACCACCAACACCACCCCCGGGACCGCCCCGGCCCCGCCAACACCGCCCCGGTACGGCCAACACCGCCCCCGGGACCGCCCCGGCAGCGCCAGCACCGCCCCTGGCACGGCGAGCCCCGCCCCGAGCCCCCCATGCCGGCTGTCCCCGCCCGTCCCGGGGCCGTCCCCGGGCAGTGGCCGTGGCCCGTGCCTCTCGTGCCGCCCTGGCCCGGCTCCCCTCCTTAGTGCCCGTGGTTCCCACGGAGCGAGGGCGCGCGATCCTCTGTTTGCACAGTAACGCTCTTAAGTTGCAGAACGTTCAAAAAAACCGCGATTTAAATTTATTTTTTTTATATATATACATATAAATCCTGTGGGCTTTCTCAGCGGGTGCCTCATGAGAGGTGAGGGCTCGACTGCTGAGCCCCCTCAGATGCGCTGGTGCAGGAGCACAGAGCTCCATTCCCGGTAGAAATTCAGGCGTTGGAATAGGTTGCCCGGGGAGGTACTGGAGTCACCACCCCTGGAGGTGTTTAAAATGCGTCTGGATCTGGCACTGGGTGATGTGGTTTAGTGGTTTGGGAGTTATAGTGCTGGGTTGATGGCTGGACTCGATGATCTCAAAGATCTCTTCCAGCTCTGATGATTCTATGATATTATGATTCTAAACACAAACAAACGAACACCACAGCAGTTATCCTGCACATTAACAGGTGGTTTACATTCCATGGCTCCTCAGCAGCGGGTTTGGACAGCTCCTGGAAGGGTCAAGGGCACATCTCCTCTTCTGCAGGCTTGTTTTCCCCTTCTGATGAAAATAAACCCAAGTACTCCTGCGTTCCGAGAGCTGCAGCAGCCTTCCAAGATCCCACACCACCCCTCTCCACCACCACTGAGGGAACTGCACCGGAGTCTCTGGCAAGTTCAATTCCACTGCATCTTTCATCCCAGTCACCTTTTAAGCTCCTTATCTGATCTGCCTCTTCCTCGAGCACCTCTTAAGTCCCCAGTCCTTCCTCTAGTAGTTCCCCTGATACAGAGGCTTTTAACCTTCACAGAGCAGCTCAGCCCTGACACGTTTAAGGACTGAAAACTGATCGCAGACAAGTGATGTTTTCCCGACCCTTTTCCCTTCCCTTCAGGCACCAGAAGGAAGTTATTTTATAAGAAGTCTTTCCGTGGTGCCAGAAGCCCAGGCTGCTCCCCCTGCTGCTGCTGCCTTGGCAACCCCTTATTCAGCAGCACATTTACTCTCATTTATTCGCCGTAGGCCAGCTGAGGTGGCCCCTCCAAATTACAAAAATTCACGCCTTTAAAGTTTATTCATGGGGGTTTAGTTCAAAAAGAAAAAAAAAAGCTCCTGCCAGTTCTTGGGATATGCGTTTACTCACTTGAAAATTCCCTTTTCCTGGGCTTTTCTCCACACTTTATTAAGCAATAAGCTCCAAGGGCTCAGTGAAAGGTACAGGCATTACAGGTCAAGGACTGTCTTGTACACCAGCTTCTGCTGCCATAATTTATTGGTTGCTGATTTAGACCAGTTTATATAACATGCAAGATGAAGAAAACCAGTCACTTACTACAAAAATATGGATATCCACAGCTCAACAATTCCAGGAGGGAATGGCAAATCCAGCTCAGGTCTCAGTGCAGGTGGCACGTAACGCCCCTACCACGTTTTATCTCTCTGGTAGAAGGAATTGCTTTATTTATGACTAAAAACCCCTACAGATGAAGGAACACATGAAGTATTTCACTAACCCTATTTGATAACTCGATTACAGCCAGAGAAGCTGCTCAGCTGCAGTAGCACAAGGGACCAGGGAGCTGCCCTATGAACACACCTCAGCGCCACGTGGGAAAGCACCGCCCGGACACAGTTTGGAAACCCAGCAGTGTTTCAGGTACCAGTTCCTTTGGTCTTTAGTCATTTCTGGTTTCAAACAGGGAGCAGGCTGGGTGTGCCTGGACCCACGGCAGCGCTTCATCCACAGCTCTGGGGAGAGGGAGCAAAGCCCGCCTCGCCAGCAGCCTCAGCACTGCTGAGCAATAAATAATCTGAAAGAAAACCAGGAAACCCCAAACCCACCCCACCCCTTGCCATGGAATTCTGTGCACTGTACTACACACCTTGCTACTGAATCAACTCAGAGAACCCTCAGGAAAATCAGCAGGAGCTGAAAAAGTGCAGCGCTCAACACAATCAGTCCCATTCCCATTCTCAGAGGGCACTATTAGGGAACTTCAAGAGCCTGAACTCCTGACTTCCCCAGCAAGAAACCCCGGGAGAAAAGAGGTTAAAATTAAAGCAAATCTAAAAACAGAATCATCAAATGCCCAGCATATTTTAAGTCACAGAAATTCAAAGCAGAAGCATATCTTGGGTTTTAAATGACAACTTATCAGGATCTTTGTTTTGTGTTGACTCAAGAGCATAGATGCACCTCAACAATTTTTCTAAGGCTTCTTCCAGTTAATTAGTAGCATTTTTCTTTAGAAAAAGAGGGTTGTTTCTTTCCCATTTCACATCCTAAACTGGTATTTGAATTAGCAACAGGCTGCAAGAAGTGTTGTTCTCAGACAGGCTGTAGTACAGCAGAGTGTATCGTTCTTTCCCAAGCATCAGCTGCTCAGTTTTCCCAGGAGTTTTTTCCCAAGGCTGGCTAAGGTTTGCAGCGCTGGACAAAGCGTGGGTAGAGACAGACATCTCGGATGTGGTGTCTGTTCAGGATCCAGGTCAGGAACCGCTCCAATCCCAAACCGTATCCCCCGTGAGGGCACGTACCGTATTTCCTCTGTGAAAGTCGAAGCAGAGAGTAAATATTATACATTTTCTTGTTGCTCAGAGTTGCAGTAACCCCACCAGAAACAAACCAATCCTTCCAAGAGGGAATCCTTCCAAGACACCTCTGGCTGGGTGCCTGCTGTACTGACCTGATCCGTGTACCAGTAGTACGGCGTGGGATCGATGCCCTCCCTCTTGTAGCCTTCGAGCAGCTCCTCGCTGTCCCAGGTGCGCATGGAGCCCCCCACGATCTCCCCCACGTTCGGCATCAGCACGTCCACCTGCAAGGCACGACAGCACACCCACCGCTCGCACCGCCGCCGCGGCGGGAGGGGGGACGGGCAGCCACGGCCAAGCCTGGCAGGGATGCCCCGAGGGTTTTCCCGGAGCGCTCATTCCCCCCGGCAGCAGGCAAACCCAACTCACAGACTCGGTGAGGCGCGGGTCGTCCTGGCAGCGCTGCATGTAGAAGGACTTGATCTCGGCAGGGAAGCGGCACAGCAGGATGGGCTCGTTGATGGTGTCTGTCATCAGGCGCTCGGGGGCTTCCGGGATGTCCTGTGGTTACAGGAGGATTTATTGACATTTAACACCAAAAGGCTCCCGTGCACGAGTCCACACATTCATCCTCAAGTACCTCCATTCTTAAAACAAACTTATCACAGAAGAAATATAAGTCTTTACAGATAAAACCAGACATGTCCAGGGGAAAAGAATCTGTTCAATTAAAATCTAAGTCTTCCCAATGTGTCAGACAGAAAACTGAGAGAAAAAAAATCCTGGCTCTGGCACCAAGCTCTCTCGAGCTCCTTCAAACAACTGTCTCACATGTTGGAGAAGAGCGGACAGGGAACAGATGACAGGTGACAACACAGGTTTTCATTCCAATGCTCAGGGACATGAGGTGAAATCCCACCTCACAACTGCATCCCTGCACGACATCCCCACCCCTCCCAGCAGGACCTACCTCCCCAAACTCATAGTAAGTGCCATCTTCCTTCTTCACATCGTGTTCCTTCAGCCACTCGATGGCCTCGGCGTAGTCCATGCGTCGGAAGGGACGTTTGGGGGGCTGGAAGCCCTGTGGGGAAGAGCACCGTGTTAAAGAACACCTTTCCAGCTGATCAGCATGTCCAGACTCGAAGCACACAGACTCTTCCCAGCTCACACATCATCAAATCATTACTTATTAAATCAGGTGTCTCTCAAAGTCAAAGCTTCTGCAAAGGCAGAAGACAAAGGGGCTCTAACAAACGAGAACACCAGTTGTTCCATTGCTCCCTTGTGCTCCACCCACACACACCAGCCCACCAATATTCCAAGCTCTGGGCTGGAGGGTTTCATTCTGCTGGCACAGGCCACACTGCCATAAATCCTGGCACACTGCTGGCTCCTGGAGCTCACTAGCAGGGGACTTCTTTCCCCAGAGTCCCCTGATTTGGAAGTCATCACCAGCCCTGCAGCACTTTCATTTCTGTGCTGTTACTCAATGTTCTTATTATTCTGCCTTCCCCAAAGGATCACAGTGATCAGAAAAGACTAAAGATCCTATTTTTTTTGACTATTCCCACTGCCTACCGGGTTGAGGTCGTACACGAGACCCGCTGCAGGTGATTTCAAGACTCTGTCCACGACATCACACACCAAGTCCTCCAGACGGTCCAGCAAATCCTCAAAACTTATGAAAGGGCATTCAGCTTCGATGTGAGTGTACCTGAAACAGAGAGTCCCACCACTGCAAAACCACACACAAGCAACACATCTTTCTGAGATGAACTCATTAAAAACCCCCGCACACAAACACACACTTCTGTCCCCTCTTTAATTCCTCCCACTCCCACGCTGTGAAGGAAATAAGGCTGTGAGCTGCCCATACTCTGCCAGGTGCCGGCGGGTCCTGGACTGCTCGGCCCGGTACGACTGAGCCACGCAGAAGACGTCCCCCAGGGCCGGCACGCAGGTCTCCAGGTAGAGCTGGGAGGACTGGGTCAGATAGGCCTCTTCACCAAAGTAATCCAGCTTGAACAGGGTGGAGCCTCCCTCCACCTGCGTCTGTACCAAGGTCGGTGGTGTGACCTGTTGAAGAACAGGGCTGTCGTGGAGGGAAGAGCTGAGGACACGGTGACAGCACACGAGTCGGGGCGTTGGAGCAGTCACACGAGGGAGCACACACTTACTTCATAGTACCCGTTGGCAAAGAAGTGATCCCTGAAGGCCTGCACGACCATGGAGCGCACCTTGAGGATTTTGGACATGTTCTCCCCTCGGATCATCATGTGCCTGTTGTTGAGCTGCACATCCACCTCCGAGTCCTCGTTGAGCAGATTGTCAGCCCCTCCTGCCGGCGCCAGGCCGATGAGCTCCCAGTAATCACAGCTCAGCTCGTGGCCTCCCGGAGCCTGCCAGGGGCACAGAAACAACCACTGGGGGAAAAGTCCACTGCTTGCCCCCAGGATGGCCTGGAGCGACAGGACAAAGGACAATGGACACGGCCAGAGGGCAGGGTTAGGTGGGATATTGGGAAGAAATTCCTCCCTGAGAAGGTGGTGAGGCCCTGGCACAGGCTGCCCAGGGAAGCTGTGGCCGCTCCATCCCTGGAAGCGTTGCCCGGAGCAGCCTGGGCTGGTGGAAGGTGTCCCTGCCCATGGCAGGGGGTGGCGCTGGATGGGCTTTGAGGTCCCTCCCAGCTCAGCCTGAGACCCCGTTCTGCTCTCAACAGCTCCCCCGTGTGGGCCACGGCCGCCTCACATCCCTGAAAACGGCATTTTTCATTCATTCACAGGATTTTCAGGGTAGGAATCCAGATTTTCAAAGGCTAACCCACACGGTTTTTACAAAAATGTAATCCTGTGGGTTCGCATTAGCTGAGCTCAGCTCTCACCTCGGCTCGATCTCCCGGGGACAGGACCCAGTGGCAGGGACAAGTAGAAAAATTCAGCCCACTCAAATTTCATTTGCAAAACACGCTCTAAACCTAATTCCTGCTGAAATAACCTAACGATTCCTTCCACCTCTGCTTCTGCTTCTGTCAGCACAGCCAGGCCCTGCCGAGGAGGACAGGAACATACCTGCTTGCCTTCGGGGAGGAGGTTGAGCGTGCCGTACACCGCCACGCTGCTCTCCGTGGACAGCACCAGCCCGTTGTAACACTGGCACTGCGGGGAAGGACACACAGCCAGGGTAGGCAAGTTTTTATTCTTAACATTTCCTGCAGCATCTAGATCAACTCACAGTCACTCCCAGACAGCTCTCACACTGACACACTCAGGGGCAGGTGATGCATTGAGCATTAACACGAGTCAGTAGGTTTAGGGGAACTTCCCAACAGCTGCATAAAAGAGGTGTGAACACTTCAGTTAGGGACAGAACAGAATGAAACCAGCACAACTCACCAGCTCATCGGAAAGGACGCACTGGAGGAACCCCGTGCCATCTCTCAGGACAATGAACATCAGGTTTTTCCCTAGTTAAAAAGGGAAGAAATTTGCTGATTTCACTGGTAAGCTCCTCCCTTGGCAGGATTAGCTTAAAACACAGAACAAGTCTTTTGAGGAAATTCTGCAGGACCAGACTCCAAACTGAAAATCCCATAGAATGTGAACTAAGAAATGTCTGTATGCTCACACACTGGGGGAAACTGTCAGTGTTGCAGGGACCACTGATAAACCACAGAGGACACCTAACTGATGGTTTAAAAATTTCAGAGTAGGTGCTGTTGGACTCATTCTGTGTCCAAATTTTGAAGGCCACTGTGCTTGTTCCACCTCCCTGCACAAGCTCAGTAATGCTCGTGCCTTACCTTGCCTCCGTAACCTGTGAATCCAGCCAAAAATCTTCACTCTCTGCCCTCTGTAAGCCTCCAGAGCACTGATCTTCACCTGTCAGGGAATAAAAGCCAGCAGGCAGGGGAATGATTCGCCACCTCTTGCAGCCAGGGTTCATCCAAAGCCCATCCCAGAGCACGTACAATCCCTGTGCTGCACAGGGTCATACTCACACATTTGGGCTCTGGAAGGCTGGGATCATTCTTGATAACAACCTTCTTGGCTTCCTCCAGGTTCTTCTCTCTTCTCAAGAGATCTTCTGCCTGGTCAAAGGGAGTAACTTATTAAAGAGCTGTAAACAGGCCAGTTGTAAGTACCATGTGAGGAACTAACTGCAGCTTTTCTGCAGGAGCAGGAAGGACAGTGACACACAGCGACAGCAACACTGACACAGTGTCACAGTTTTTGGCAAACAAAGGTGCTCTGCTCCCTCTGCAGCCTACCTCCTTCTTCTCCTTGGCTTCATTCTTCATCTGCTCCCTGTGCCACAGCTTTTTGACATTCTTCATCTGTGACTTGGAAATGATGGCCCATCTCTAAGGAATGCAAGGAGAGAGCAGAACACAGAACATTACATTGTGTCCCTTCACACCGAGGAGCAGTGAAATAATTCCCCCCAGGAAGCTTTAATGCCACAGCACCTCATTTTCTTTTTGGGAATCCACATAAATCGTAGGAAATGGCTCTTTTCCTGCTGTCATCAATGCCTAAAAAGGGGGAGAAAATAACAGAAGTGAACTGGAATCATCCTCACAGAGCCTGAGCACATTCCACACTGTTCCAAACCAAGCAGGTGTTTTCCACACTTACCTTTAACACGGTCTTGAATGGTTTCTTCTGCGTCCCATCCCCAGTGGAGTCATTGCCCTCCCGTTCAGACACGTACAGCTCTTCTAGGATACATCACAAATACGGGCAATGAGTCAAAAAAAAATGAGGAGGAGGAAACTGGACACACAGGGATGCTGCAAGGGGCTGGATGAGGTGACCTTTAAAGGGCCCCCCCACCCCAAACCTCCCTAGGAGACCAAATCTTCGTGGTTATAAGCACCGGGTGGTCAGACAGCACAACAATTCTTTCCTGTTTTCCACTGTAAAAATCAATCCACGCAGGGCGTTCTCTAAGCCTTAAGGGCTCCCGAGGTACTGAACTCTGGGAACCAGCAGTATCCTTCCCGGATGCTGGGGAGGGAGGCAGGGAGGCAGGAGACGGGGCCGGGGGGAGCAGGCAGGGCGCAGAGCAGCGCTCGGCTCGGTCCCGGCCGGGAACAGCGCACGGGAGAGGGCCCGGGCTCCAGGGCCCGGCTGGCCGGGGGCTGCTCCGTCACGGCCCCTGCCCGGCATCGGGACACGGGGGATGCGGGGGATGCGGGGGATGCGGGGATGCCGGGCCCGGCCGGGTCTCACCGAGCGCCATCGCCGCCGTCCGCCCCAGCACCTCGCCCGCCATGTCCGCCCGGCGCTGCCCCGGCAGGAACTGCCTCAGGAACTGCATCACCGCGCTCCTGAGCCAACCCCGCGCCCGGTTGCGTCAGCCGCGCCCCGCCCGGCCCCTTCCACCGCCGGGGATCCCCGCCCGCCGCCCGCCGCCCTCCCCCTGGTGCTCATCACGACACCGGCGCTGCGCTTTGGGGTGTTTATTTCGCATTGCACTTTTGAAATGTACATTCCATTCGACGAGAGCTGGGGGGGGCGTGATTTGTACTGTAAAACCGTTTCCATAATCGACCTCAGTCCGGGAGGGGAAAGGAGCTAAAAGTGAAACACTCAAACATCTCAGCTCGAGGAAAGAACGTGCAAATGTAAAGAGACTCATGGGAGTGACTGATTCCCGGTTATCCATCACTGTATCCAGAACTGAAATGAACAGGCTGTGCCAGCTCCGGGGGCAGCTTTCGGACACCAGATCGATCCTAATTCCTAATCCAGTCTGACACTGGCTGAAGTTTATGACCAGGCACACCCTCAGCTCAGCCGTGCCAGCTCCCTCGGTGTCCAGGGTCCTCTGCCAGGGCTCAGCGCCCCCCGTGCCGTGATGTCCGGGCAGTTCATGAAGTGGAGCACGCAAAGGAAATAGCTTTCAAAGACAAATATGAAATGTAGCTGCAGTTTTATACCACCACAGTATTAAAAAGTGGAAAGTCTGCAATTCCAGGCCTCACTAAAAACTGACCCTGCTGGGTTTCCATTCCCAGCACACCGTCACACAGAGCAGTCACACAAGGATCAGTAGCTCCACGGAGAACTCTTGGCCTTTTTGTGTTCCCGGGGAGTCCAAGCCCAGAAAGTTCTGTGATAAGACATAAACCCCCTCCTGTCCTTATGCCCTTTATGGTTTAAAAAAGATCCTGAGTTTGTTTGAACAGTTCTGTGCAATCACCGGGACAACCGGGACAAGGATCGCCGTCCCGCGGTGCCTCAGCTCGTCTGCCGGGCGTCCCCGGTGCCCGGCGCCGTGCCCAGCACAGCATCCAGCGGGGCCCTCCTCTTGCGGATGCTGCGGCCCGAGGCGATGAGGTCGGCGTAGCCGCGCTGGTGCGAGAAGGCGTAGGCGGAGCGGCGGGCGGAGAGCCCGCGGCGGAACGCGCTGGGCCGGCGCCGCCACTGCTGCTCCTCCAGCAGGTACTTCCGACGGTTCCGCTGGATCTGCGCGGACACCGGGGGCGGGGGTTAGGGCAGCACCCCCCCTGTGCCGTGTGCCAGCTCAGGGCACGGCAGAAGCGGCCACAACCCGTCTCCCTGGCACTGCAGCCCAGCCCAAATTAAACCCAAATTGGGCATCTCGGAACCCTCACGGGGTCTCTGTGGTGCCACCAGGTCTCAGCCAAGCACGCAATGAATCGGCCCCCACTGAGCTGCTGCCCCTGGCCAGCCCCAGGCTTGTGTCACCTCCCTGAGGGCACCATCACTTCTTTGTCTCTCACGGAATTACAGACTCTCAGACTGGTTTGGGTTGAAAGGGACTTTCAAGCCCATCCTCTCCGCTTCCCTGCCACGGGCAGGGCCACCTTCTACCAGCCCAGGTCTCAGCACCAGCACCAACTCCTGTGAGTAAATACCTGCCAAATTCACCAAACCAACGCAGACCGCACTCACTTTGTCGCTCTCCGAAGGCCAGATCGTCATGGCTAAGAAACGCTGGGCCACTACAGGGAGCAGGCAGATGGCGATGGATAAAATCATGGTGAGCCAGAGGTACGGCTGGCGCAGAGCGTTCGGAGCAGTTCCTGGCAATGACAGAACAACAAGTAGTGTGTGACAGAGCTGCCTGCGACAGGACCGAGAACCACAAACCACGAGGACTGACCTGTGAACTGAAAGCCAGAAGGGAAGAGGACGTGGATTCCAGCACTGTGGAAGTCAAATGTGATCCCAAAGTAAAGTGCAATGCTCCCAAATACTGAAAAAGCGTTAACAAAAGTCCAGTAAGATGTATCCAGGCCAATCTGAAAGCAAACAAAAGCGCCCAGTGAGCTTATTAATTCCAAATAATGCCAACTGCTTTTGGCATATTGTTACATTTTTAGCAGAGAAATTTAGAACCGTGAGCAGAAAGTGTTCTCAGAGCACCAGAGTTCAGGAAGCCACGTTTACTCGCCTGAAAATTGACGACAAAGATCAGGGAAGATGCTGCTGTGACAGCAAAGGACTGATAATCTGCAGGGGCTTCTCCATCTTGTCCCATAGATTTCATGTAAGCTCCGTACGGGATGAAGAAGATGATGAGTGAAGTTACAGCTCCGTGGAGCAAACTTAAAAAGAACTTCTTGTAGTTGAAAAGTAAATCCCTCTGGCCCAAAATATACAGTCTGGGGAAGCGAAGGCTCAGCTTGTCGCTCACGTCCTTAATAAAGGGGGGAAAGGAAAGGAAAGCTGTTGCAATGTGTTGTTCTCAGAGTGAGCTTTGAAGAGAGAGGCTCAACTACACGGTGTCCCAAAGGGAATGGCAGATCCCTTTCTCTGTCCAATAGCAGGGCTTTGCACAGAGTAATGCACGAGGAAAACTATTTTAAAAGCCACAAACCCAAACAAACTGCCCTTGTTTTATGGACCGGCGTTGATGCAAGCAAAGGCCCGCTGGCAGATGCCTTTGGACTCGTCTGTGGGAGTACCTGGTCGAGCAGGCCGACGAGCAGGACCGGGAGGCTGGAGTACAGCACGTTGTACAGGGTGATGAACCAGTCCTCGTAGGCTGTCTGCAAAAGAGGGGCAATCGCAGGAGCTGGTGATTTCTTTGTATCCCACCCTTCCCCTCCAGTTCCTGAGAAAACCCGCATGTGCTCTCCTGTGGCTTTGAGCTCCCTGGCTTGGTGTTCATCCCAAAGGCAGCAGCACCTCGGCTCAAGGCTCTGCTGA